CAGGGTTCCCACTATCAAATGCTAGACACTGCTCAGTGACTGTCGTTCTCGTTGCCTGGTAGGCTGTACAGATAATTGACTGCATGGTCCAATATGGGTACTTTATACGCAGGGTTCCCACTATCAAATGCTAGACACTGCTCAGTGACTGTCGTTCTCGTTGCCTGGTAGGCTGTACAGATAATTGACTGCATGGTCCAATATGGGTACTGAATGGCTCAACCACTGTCGACCGACAGCAAAACATAGCTTTAATTGTCCGTCTGAACTCTGGGAATCGCGAAGAGTAAACAATTGGGTTGACAAGACTATTACTATAGTGTAACAGTTTAAAAAAGTTCAGATATGTGTATGGCACACTTGTACGACATTTTACACACAAGAACATCACAATGTTCAGTATGTGAAAAGGCATCCACGTGAAGATAAAAATGATTGTAATAATAGCCAAAGTAACGGCTAGTTTATTCTCATTTTTACGCTCCGTAGAGGTYCGACTAACGTTTTGTGGCTGCTTAAAGTTCACTTTGATCCAAACAGCTGCGTATGCAATACAAATGACCAGCAGTGACACTGTAAGTGACGTCATTACACATATAAAATAACCATCCAATGAGATGGTTTTGTTGCCGTATAGAGCTCTGAGTATGGTGAGTACTAGGGCTAAAGCCCACGTGATTCCAATCATTGAAAAGTACATAGTTTTGGTTGCGCGTCGATGACGATGGGGGTAAAATACAGAATAGAGTCTTTCCAATGCAATCGCAGTCAGCCCAAATACGCTACCAAACCCTGTTAGCACATCGATAATCAAAAACGACTCGTAGAAGGGAATGTTTCTTTGCATGGCATAGTTTGTACCAGGCCAAACCACAGCCATGTACATAGGCAAGGTTAYCATGCCCACCAGAAGATCAGCAATGGAAAGATTGATTAAGAGATTTGATGTGCGCAGGCGTCTAAGCCTCACGTTGCTTACAAATAGGTAGATAGAGAGACTGTTGCCGAGGATGACAAAGAATGCTACAACCCCATAGGCTGAACACCACAGCGATTCATGCAGTTGTGAAGTCATCCTCGATGTCGCACTTGATTGSTTCTTTACTGTCCGACAATTGTGTTTGATGTCCTTGTCGTTTTACGCAACTGAAAGAAAAACGAGATCGCGAGTTAGTAGGCGAACAAACTTAACAGGTGGATAATATTTATACTACAATATGAAATCCCAGTCTAATATGGGGCGCTTAATCCGGCATTTGTAATCTTAAGGTACGGTAATRCGAGCAGCAAAATCGTCGAACTCGTCTCGCAACACTGCTGAAAATCAAGTGGCAAAGCGATGTTGCGCGTTTTACTGCTGGCGAATTCCAATTGTCTCGCTTCAAAACAATTTGTTTCAGTTTGAGCAAATCCTTATTTCTGATTGGCCAATGCAGTTACTTGTCATTTTGAAAAGTTGGGTTGTTGTGGTAATACGCGCAACATCGACGGAACGATCTTTTTCAATCTGTAACAAATTATTTTGCTGTGCGATAAGTTGGTTTGTGGTAGTAGTACGCGCAGTATCCCTTTCCAACTTTCTTTGCTCGAAACATTGAAACATTTCAATTAGTTGTATAGTTTGGATAATTCCTTAGTTACAATGTAACACGACTTTCCAACCAAAATACAATTTTAACTGTAATATATATGAAACCTCACTAGTGTATTGAAATATTAAAATATTAAAGTGCTTATGACGCCTCTCTGTGAGCTGATTCTATATAAAGTAAATAATTAAATGGTGAAGTATTTCTGCATTTCAGTGTTGCATCTTTGAGTTTTGAAGGTTTAATCTTCCAATATACTAATGATAATGACGTCAAGAGAGGCTTCATTAGATATACGAACTTTGAAACAGTCGCTCAAAAACGTTTTCATGAACTACATCTGGGAATAGTCTATGGTTATTCCCTACATTGCATACGATAAATTTAATGACATGAAACCATTTTAAAGCGACTCCCTCAAAGTTCGTATATATAATGAAGCCTTCTTTGACGTCATTTTCATTAACATATTGAAGTTTGAACTTTCATAACTCAAACACGCAACACTGAAATGCAGAATAATTCACCATTCAATTATTTATTTTATRTAGAATGAGCAAACAGAGAATCAGAAWTTTTTTTGTCAGGCGTCATAGGCACTTTAAAAATAAACAACAACAAAAATCTTCGGCCGAAAAAAGCAGGAACTGATGTAATGGTGCGCGAGCGTCAACCAGAACTAAAAAGGCGGGAAAACGTAAAACGCTACTTAATGTGCCACGAATCTTCGGTGATTCCGGTCGAAATTGCGCGCAACATTTGATCTTCCGTTCGGAACTTCGGAACATTTTGAATGCAAATAAAAGCTGAGATCCTCTAAGTACTCCACAGGAGATAATTCTATATGATACGTGTGATAAAGCAGGAAGGATGCTAAAAGTCATAGAACAAGATATGATAAAATACCCATATTCAATTGGCATAACCTTCACTTATGCTAATAGTTAAACAAATACTTTCAACTGCTTGGAAAACATCTGCTTCCTCTGATCAACTGGTTATTTTTATCGCGCACAAGACGCGTTTTTGCCGATGAAATCATYAAAGAACACTAAGATAATCTTTTATTCTTGCTACTTTGATAGAATATCTCCAATCTTTAACACGTTTTACTGAGTTTTACTTCAGTAAAACATCAATTAAGTACTCAGTGGAGTGTTACATCAATACACGTAAAATGCGGCCAGATGTTCCAAAACATCATAACAATTAATCTTTGAAAGGTTCCCTTTAGCAGGAMGGTGTTATAAATAACTCGCACTGAAATRTGGCTACCCTGGTCCCAGAGGTTTGATATTTTCTCTCTTCGCTATTGYTTTTGTCGGCGSGAACCAAAAACAATAGCGAAGAGAGAAAATATCAAACCTCTGGGACCAGGGTAAAATATGGCCAAATCACCCTTGTAAACAATATTTTCATTTCCTCGGTATCATGTGAATACCATACTACTTATGAATCATTTGGCAGGACATTCTCTCAATTTTACGTCACAACGATGACAAAACTACATCCTTTGATTTCTACATGAAAAAAGCTAAAAAGCCTTTTCTTTGCACACCACTGCGAATTTTACCAATCAACCTGAAATTCCGCTGACCCAGGAACACGACGCCGATTAATGACGCTATACAAATTAATGAGTAACCGCTAAACTTATGAAAATGCTTGACTCGACCTAGCTCAACAAAACGAGGTTTTACATCATGGTCAAAATGACACGCACTTACCAGAGTGGCCATACCGTTCCAGCATTCTCTCCGCAAGTCTCTCATGCTCTAGACAACAGACTCAGAAAAGCTTTCAAGAGAGAATGAATGGTCTATTTCCCTAATTACGTCAAGTGCGATGTCCAGCTAGATGCATTGTGGGATTGACAAACTGGAGCAATGATGTGTTTCAGTCACAACATGGGTTCAAACTCATTTCGAAGATGCGTTTTTTTTTAGTAGTCTCTAGTGTTCAGGGATCGTATTTTGTATTCTTCCAAGCATTTTTGACAACATATAACGTTAATTTCCTTCTTAGTATTGTTTTATATTTATATATATATATGTACTTATTCATTGTAACTTGCCTGACGAGCGTGGTCATCTCTGATGRCCATACGAAACCAGCTTGTAGCAGCAATGAATCATTCTAGTCTTTAAGTACAATTTTATTTTATGCAATGCTCCTTGACAAAGTTGAGCACTTTTTTGAAAACATTTTCGATMATTTTAAGTATATATCCACTATCCCAAATAGGTACCTGATCAATTGTTTGCCTAATTGGATATTTAGGAATAATATATACGTGGATGTATAATTAATAGTAATAAGACTCCATACTGTCTAATAAAGAAAACAATTAGACTCGAAAACGTCTTCCGACTGCCATAACCAATTTTGGCAGTCCTCGGAATTTTCCTCGTCCATATTTTTTTTTAAAAATTGGAAAGCATGGAAGAGTTCTATTATTTCATCCATATCGTGATCAGTTTCGCCGAAGAACAAAAATAAACGATTACACCAATATAATTCAAACCCCCACTGGTCAACCAGCACCTGCATCTGCATCTGGCATCAAGAATTACCGAAAAAGTWGGCGAAAACGAAGTTGTGTTTGAAGTACTATTAACACTTGCGATTTTTGTCGCGCGAACAATGCCTGGGTTTCGAGCATTCTTGACAGAGAATCAGAAATTTTTTGTCAGGCGTCATAGGCACTTTAAGAATAAACAACAACAAAAATCTTCGGCCAAAACAAGCAGGAACTGATGCGATGGTACGCGAGCGTCAACCGGAACAAAAAAAAGGCGGGAAAACGTACAACGCTACTTAATGTGCCACGAATCTTCGGTGATTCCGGTCGAAATTGCGCACAACATTTGATCTTCCGTTCGGAATTTCGGAACATTTTGAATGCAACTTCGTKGCGATGTTCGATTGCCACAACAGTCCCAGGGCTGTTTACACGTACGAATTGAGTTGCGCGACAATCGCGCTGCAAAAATTGCAAGTGGGACTTTAGACATTAATATAAGAGCATCTATCTATCCAGATATATCCAGATATATCCGATATATGCAATCATCTATAGAGTATTGCACCGAAATAGACGTTCATGTCATAGTAAAAGGATAAAGAGCCTGTCATCCTGAGAGGAAAACGGCTGCGAAAAGTCTACTTCCTAAAGCACYAGGAAATCGCGAAAATTCGCTAAGAATTTGACAACACTGAAGAGTGCGGCAAGACCGAAGTGGATCATATTTCGAGCACGGAGAATAATACCTTATCCAAAATTCGATATTCTGGTCRAATGTTYATGCTCAAGAGAACARTAGACGAGGCTCAGAAGAACCTACTTACAAAAGAACTTTCTATTGGTTCCCGGAAGAGCCTCGTATTCAATAGTCCATTTGCATTAAGACGTCGTGGTTAGTCAATCAAAATATCAAAAGTGAGATATTTTGGACCTAACGCCATTGTACTTCCTGTTCTCTTGTCCTAAATTAGAACTGCCGACTCGGRTCGCTCGCTGCTAGCTCGATCCCTAATATTATAGCTATAACAGTCTCTGATGATGAGCATATTAAATAGATGCATGTACAGTGCCTACCAAAAGTACGAGAGTTCTGTTTATCCTAGCTTGAGTTGGCTGGCACCTGCAAAATAAGATTGAATGACGAATTGAAACGATGACTTCATATAATAAGGCTGTGGGAGGTGAGAGTCGTAAAGAAATGGAACTCGATGCGTGGTAGTTATGGTAATCGATGTTCTTCCTTTGGTAAATAATTTCTCTMCGTTTACAAAAACTCGTACGAAAGCTCTTTTAGATGAAAACAAAGGTCTATATCGTGTGTATGMATTGTGGATGCATKAGCTGKGCACATCGTAAGGTTCCGTTTGCGCAAACTGAAGACGTACGTGTTCGAGTTGAGCAATGTTTGTCAAAGTTATTTTTACCAACAGCCTACACGGTGCCATCARATAAGCAATTAACATAGACGTCCTAAAGACTTCATAAGACATATGAATGAGCTGTATGATGTTTCATAATCATCAATCAACTTTCCGTATTAATGTTCCATCCAGTGCCATTCTCATTAAACTGTAATAAACTATAATAACTAATAATTATAGTGGAAAAGCCCACTTGTTTTACAATCCTTTAAGCTTTTACTTACTTGATAATAATTACTCGAATATTTGGTCTTTATTATTCTGGCAAGTACTAATGCCTTTTCTTTTTTGGTCTTTGATATTCTGGCAAGAACTAATGTCTTGTCGGACTTACCTGCTAGGTGAAGTCCAGAATAAAAAAGATTACTGCCAACGCAATACGCGACTATAATCTCTACTGTTTTTAAAATAGCTTCCCATTTCATTTCCATTTGCTTCATTACTATGAAAGGAATTTGTCGTGTCAGTCACAAAAATAAAATAATCTTGATAAAGTATAGCTTAGAGGCTTGCCGTAGACATTGATAAATGAAAATGACACTGTCATGATTACGGATTAGGAAGTGAGTTGGGATAATTTCATCCAAATCGTTTACATAAGCATTAATACTTCAGTTTCATACTTTCGATTTTCTTTTTGGTATTCATTAAACTGACTACGAAGTAATTAAATTAASAGCTCATTCGTCAAATATCAAAGTTCATTTTTGGTGAACTCTGACAGTCTGTTTGTTGTGCTAGTCGACTTTTTATCGATCCTTGAAAAGCTAATGTATATATTTGTAAAAATCTATACATCATACTTTACCGAGTCCATTGAGAATTTGACAGCTTGTTCCGACATATAATCACTGCTATGTTATTTCGTGAGCAAAAAATTGACCTAGTTTCAACAAAAATATTTATATAATAAAACGAAAAAAAAAATAGCGGTAAGAAATTCATCCAAAACGTGCGTTCTAGATTACGACGCCATCTTGAACCAGTCTCGCCATTTTGAAAATTTTGGTTCATTTTTGAACGTTTTTTTTTTGGTTTTGTGGCATTATACGTGCATCTATCAGACCATTTACAATGGTGACTCATCTTTGATCTTAGAGATTTCATGGTATTACACTATAATCTCATATAATTAGCCGGTGAATCACAGAACAAGTGGGTTTGATCAATTTGTCATAGAAATATCAATTCACTGCCAAAAATCCCACTTCATTTACGCAAACTTGAGCTCATAGTGTTGTGGTAATGCCTTACTCTTGGCAACTAAGTGTAGCTATTAAAACTTCACATTTACAAGGCTGTTTTGCGGAGACGATTGCTGTAATTTAACTTATGTAAAAAGAAAAACAACCAAATTTCGCTGTCAAAATCGTACATATCTTGATATCGTAATGTAGTATTTACACAGAAGCATTTTATCAGCTCTTTTTGTCTTGACTATCGATTGTTTAATGTATGATGTCCTCTTTAACATTTTGACTTCAAGAACTATGTTTTTGATGAGCATTTTTTGTATGTTTACTGTTTTCTACGGGCATACTCATTGTAACTAGACCTTTTGACTTCAGTTAAACATTTTTACAGAAAACATTAAAGGTAATGTTGAAACCMAAAAAAATCAATTCCTCTTCAGCACAAATTAATTTGTCTAACTCTCACTTTTAAAATATAAGACTAGAGATTCAGAAAAGCTCGTATTCCGTGGAGAGTTTGAAGGTGTACGATGTAATGTAACTGCCACTGAAAAGAATGGATTTTAAGCAGAGAAAGTTTTAATAAAATTTTATACTCATATTGTATAATTTACCACACAAATTTTTGAAAGGATAAAAACATTGTATCTTCCTATGTAATTAATGTTAAAAGAACAGATAAAATTGTCGAAATAATTATCGATATTCTTTGTTGGACATTCGTTATAAATAGAGAGTTTTTTTCAGATATTGTACCTATAGTGGCTGCATTCACCAAACAAACCTCTAAAAGAATAGAAAGCTGTATTTTTCCTATGTAATTAATGTTAAAAGAACAGTTAAAATTGTCGAAATAATTATCGGATATTCTTTGTTGGACATTCGTTATAAACAGAGAGTTTTTTTCAGATTTTGTACCTATAGTTGCTGAATTCACCAAACAAACTTCTGAAAGAATAGAAAACTGTATGTAATTAATGTTTAAAGAACAGTTAAAATTGCCGAAATTATTAAACATTCTTCGTTGTACATCTGGCGGCACGATTTTTCAAAGGAGGTGTTTAACAATATTCTTTGAAACAGAAGTTAATGAAATAACCAGTTAAAACATTAATTATGTGTTAGTTGGGATAAGGCTATTTTTTTGGCTATTTTACGGCTATTTTTTTTTTTAACAGTAGAAAGATTCGTAATCAAATTCGGGCCTATGTTCCGAAAGAAATATTCTCATTTATAAGATCAGATAACTCAAGAAATGACACTGACGTTGCGATGTSTTTTGCGATGTAAATGATATTTATCTATAATGAAAAAAGAAGGAATTAAGAAGATTCTAATCGTTTAAGCAAACTCAGAATCATTAACATTGTCGAGTGAAATTGAGATGTTGCCCGGTAAAACTTGTATCACCGCTTCATCAACACTTCCAAATTGCAAGACGATTCACTTCGCAAGTGAGAGAAAACTGCTTTATAATTACAACACAATTGATTKTATTTTAGAATCGTAAACAAATAAGCTGCAAAACTTACTGTACTTCGCTAAAGGAAACGTCTAGATCAGTTTACACAATCTGATAATGAAATTTTGGAACTGGAAGTTCTCYACATTTGACGTGTTGCATAGGATCGCCGGCCAGCAGTTAATTTTAACTGACTAACTGCTTTAAAAAGTATTCCTAAAAACCTAAAAGCTCATTTTTATTCATATTATTTTGCTCTTACGGCAAAAGGATTGTCATATTAAAAAGCTTAAGTAAATATTCTCTGTTCGCCATGTAAATATACAACAAAACGATCTCATTGAAATAAGAACGAAAAATAAATGAGCAATAAATTTAGAAGAACTTGCTYACGAGAAARYATCMTYACTGGCTRTAGTTTSGTTAAGGAAAAATAGAGTAAAAATATGTAAAATTTTGAAATAATTAATAAATAAGAGGTGTGAATTTATGAAAGGCTTGAAAATGTTTTGGATTTTTTTTTTGCATGTTTTCTTTCGTTTTTCTCAGTTTTTTTTTCTTTTCTCTCTGATTAAGTCTAGGGGTAATTTCCAAACCGCTTCGAGCCTTGTCCATCTAAATTGTCGTCTGAAGTTTTGAATGTACACTTTTAATGACAGAAACTCCGGTATAGCCAATTAAACTACCGAAAAAAAAGCCAAAACCTCAGGCAAATCGGTGAAAGTCCACTCTTGGCTCTAAGTTGTCAAATCCGTCACTTTTAAATTCCACTTTACGAATAACATTGCATTTACCTTTGTCTCCGTCAAACTGAAACGCGTCATTTTTTTCCACTACATAAAAGCCTATTTGGTGTCATTATAATCATAAAAATATAAAAACTTCGCTTCATATAAATTAATTTTGCTGTTAAATACCTGGGGATTTGGCCCTCTGCAAATAACGAAAATTTTGGGATTTGCTCTAATCAAAGTACGAGGATTTGTTGCTATGGTTAAGATAGAATGTTAATTCTTTTCATTCTTTTTAATCATTTGAGAGTTCATTGTCAAACAGAACATAGAATTAGAGTCGAAATTATTATTAAAGAAGAAATAGCAAATACAAAGATCGAATTATGTGTACATTCTGTCTGTTCTGGTAAATMTGTTSTGCGGTAAGCGTTAGGTGTTGGTAGAATAGTGAATATTGGACATATTGTCACCACAATGAGATTCCCATTTGTAAATAAACATCCTAGTCTTTCACACAACTGCGAATCTATCTTAATTCTATCCGCGTCGTAGCTGAAAACAAATCCATCCTTTTTGAAAGTAAATCTTGATCCATTTACATTTGAGCTTTAAAGCATATAATGAAAAGATGAGAATTCCCCCCAAAAAACTTAGGTGTTACAAAATTGCTATTATATACATGTAAAGAATATTGTTAACCTGACCATACTTACATCCAAGATGGGTCCCTTTCAGCCTAAATTGCTACAGCTTTGATTTCGTCAGGTTGCAATTAAGTACAAATCCCACAACATCCCTCTTAAAGTCAGTGAAAAGGCGTTTTTGAGGTAACACTTTCAGATCACGTGGGAAAATGATAGCCAATGAGAAATCTCGAAGCGTTTTCGGGATTTTCAAGAACCAAATTATTGATATTGAATAAGTTTATCATAGACGTTTTTTCAGTTAAGCTAAAATTATGGTAAAAGTATACGTAATTACATTATACAATTTTTGTAAAACGTAAAATTGATCAAGCAGATCAGAAAAAACTGTACCTTAAAACATGTTAAAAGCAGCAAATTATATGCAGTCAATCATGCAACTAGAGTACCATTTTAGGACCACAGAGAAATAAGTCTGTCTCTGACGCAAGCTGAGTGCAGGRAACGGAAGCATTTCAGTTGTTAATTGCAAAAGACAYAAATTTTCATTGAAGAGTATAATTTCTTCGTTCACTTGTCCCATTAACGGATTTCATCAACTGTTCATCTTCAAAGCCATCCACAAMTGCCAGTGCACAGACTAATATTATTTCACGGTACTAGAGTGTGAGCAATTTAGTGTTAGCCGTGCGGTCTACAGACGAAGACGAACATAATGTGAAAATCACTGAACAACTAAAAGGAAACCGAATAAACCAACAAAAATTCTCTAAAAATGCAAGGTTACCGAGCGGATAAACAAACAATAGAACATAGCAGCAACGTTTTTTTATATAATTGGTGCCATCTTTATATTACCGTTAATTCATTGTATTTGTGAAACGCTTTGTACGAAATTGCAAAATCTTAAGTAATCCTCAATATCGGTTCTGTGTAGAMGTTTTTTTACTCACTTTATTTCCTATTCTCGCTTTTGTGAGTGTTTTATTGGAATATTCCGTACATTTTTAGGGATTATTCAATATTCCCCTTCCCCGAGTATTTCTTTCATGATAGTATAAAATTCCATTTCGTTTTTCAAGACCATTCCATAGTTAACACTTTGAATTGAGCCCCATGTTGTGAAACACTGGTTTTATTGTGTCCCAAGAATCTTATAAGATACAACACATGCACTTATGTTGAAGTTATTCTTGAAATACAAATTGTTATCAAAAGATGTATATTATCAATAGKTTTCCATGACCATCGACAACATTGCTATGATGTCTTCTACTTTTTGCAGCTTTTTCGGGCCCGTAAGAACTATTACGGGGATTTCTCAACTATTTCTGTATACATTTATCGATAATACATTGTTGGACTGAAAAGGTGACGTCATAGTGCTCGTCCAATGGTGTACAGCGAAGATAAGCGCAAAGAGGATATTTTTTTAATCAGATTTGCCGTACATATTAACATTTTCAACTGATAGTTGAGACCATGTTTATTCAAAATCAGACTTGGAAACTAAAAAACTGTTATGTTCATGTTATTTTGATAACKCTCCCATAACCTCTTTCGGTATTAGCTTTGGTCATGTAACTATTTTTAAACTAACATTTTTCCATTAGCGTTATACTCTGGATATCCATGACTATAGAAAATGCAAACACTGGACTAGTCTCTAGTTTGTATTATAATCTCAATTGACTCAAAGATTGAGAAGAGATAACTATTAAACTCCTAAATAGAAGTCAGCGTAAAGGCACTGAGAAACCATAAAGTAAGATTCACGCAAAATATTCACGAGATTCACGTCTGGGGGGTGACCTATTCAATTATACTTCAGTTTGCCTGATTTCGAGACCTCGTTTGCCTTCCTCAGTCATGCAATACTGTTGTTTTCAAACATAAAGACTAGCCTGCGTAGCGGCCTTAAATTAAGGGATTTGGGATCCCTTTAGGGCCGCTACACAGGCTAATAAAGACTAAAGAAAAGCTTAATCAATTTGAGTTCAATTTCTGCACTGGATTTATATAGGTTTAAATAAAACGCATCTTTTTATTCAAATAAAGGTTTTTTTAATTAAAATATTAATTTGTTTTTAAATTAAAATTTTTATTTTCTAAGCTCATAAATTTACTAACTCTATCAAATTAGTTAGTAGACTGAAACCCAATGGTAGAGAAGGGTATCATAATACTTCTTAAGTAATGAATTAAAACCTAACACTTCATTTTCCCTTAATTTTGGGATCCCTCTWGAATTTTCTTGGCCGAGCGGAGGCCTTGGGCAAGGATGAAGGAGTTTTCTCTWTTGAGGAAGACAGGAAGCCGAAGAGTGTACAGACGAGCGGAAAGGAAGAGAAACGCCTGTGGAGGAGGGTAGTCGACACGTAGAAAGGCTCTTCGTAAACGATCATTCTATAAATCTATAAAAGGATTATATGAGAGCATCATAGTATGTAAAGACAAATAAGAGTCTCTGTGACGCAAGCCGAATGCAGAGAGCGGAAGTATTTCAGTCTTAAATTGCGAAAGCCCCATAAAAATCATCATTCAAAAGTAGAATTTKTATGTCCATGTGTTCCATTAATGGATGACATCGCGATCGAATGATGTTCAAATTGATCCACAATATTTACAATAGAAGTGTACAACGCAGCTGCAGCGGCAATTGTTCCCAGGATTATAATCAGGGCGTCTTTACAAAGGTTCGCTGTGCTTAGTGTCTTGTCAAATCGAAATGTAAGGATGTGAAATAAGGCAGGTAGTATGACTGCTAAAGCTGTACTCCCAATCGCTCCAATAAGAGATATAAGATTGCCAAGTTGAGGTATACCAGCAGCGAGACTTGCTGGAAAACAAGAATTTAAAAAAATATAAGCCCGGTATACAACTTCTTGAAAAGGGTTGTTATATTCAAAAGGTAGAGTCTTATAGATTATTCAAGTTCAGACCTAAGGAGATTAAACATGAAATAAGTAGAAAAGAAATGATAAGATATGCAATCGTTGCTTGGCTTAAAATCACAACAAAGTGAAGCAGAGACCGAAAGAAAACAAGGGAAATTATGAAACTCATTCAATCACGCCCTTTTGGTCTCTGCTAAGTGGCGCCATTTTCTAGAGCCACAAAGCTCAGTGAGAAATGAAAAATCCCCACAATCCGTTTTTGCGTTTCCTTTGAATAAACGGGCAAAGAAAWAMCATTTAATCCAAAGAAAATACGAAAACGGTTAGTGAAAATTATTCTAACTTTCAAACGGACATAAAAAGTCTAAATACAAAAACATTRGCAAACAGGTTGGGTTTTCTKTGCCTTTACCGTCATGCTTTGCACGAGAAAATGCTGCAATCTTTTTCAGTGACAAACGTCAACGACAAATATGAAACTACTTTACCTGTACAACACACAGCAAATGCCCGTACGCCATACTCTACAAACGGTTTGTATGTACGATGTACTTTGTCTTTAAGAGGCGGTAAAATTATCGACATTGGAACATAAAACTGAATGAAGTATGACGAGAAGATAGATGCAGCCATCGTTAGTTTGATCGCTGTGTGGTACCTTAGAAAGACAATAATTCATCATAAGAGTCTCATAAGAAAAAAATATAACGTATCAACGTTTGCTTTAATATTCATAGGTCCTAATTTCGATAATGGCATTCACTTAGGTCCGCCCAGTCARTTCGAACAAACGGAAAGCGCCCTATGTTTTAGGTATATTTACATTTATTTTTTTTTTCGGTCCGGTATCCTACTAGTCATTCGCGCGGTCCGGTTTTTCACGATTTGCCCGGTCCGCGGTATCCTGCAGCTAGACTGCGAGCAAAGTTCCATAAAATACAAATAAAAAAAATTAAAAATGTCGCTGCGCTCGTTCCGTACTGTCAAAACCTCGGGCAGTGTTTTCCTATACGGACCTTCCAGTCGGTAAATAACATATATATATATATATATATCTTCGGACTGGAAAGATATACTTACGGGGTGTCGGTAAGATTAAGTGTAAAACTATCCTTACAATGCATTCCACAGGACAGGTATCCCAAGACACTGAGTAGCATGTACAAAAGAGTAACTAAACCCATACCAAGATTAAGAACACAATAAAAATAACGAGGCTTTGCCATCATGTTCTCTACGGGAAGAATCTGCAATGACAAAGGGATAGTGTTATTGATGCTCAACGCTGGCTGAGTAGAAGTAGGTGAGGAGTGTATAGAGTTTTAAATAACATAAAATGATATGTACATGTTTTTCTCTATGAGTGTCCCTTTATTTCTATCTCGTAATAATTTATACTACGTCACAAGACTGCAAGGAACCCTGAAACCCGTGCACTTTTCTGATTTTTTCTGAAAACCCCACGTGCACCCAAGTACCTTTGCGCGATTTCTCAAATCGTAAAAATTCGTCCTCTTTGATTTTGAACCAATTGGAAAGCACCTTTCAACAAGGGAACGGTTGTAAGTCAAAAGAAACGATCGCAAAGGTTGTTGGATGTATGTTGGCCTTTTAAGGAGGAAGTTCTCTGAAGGTCAGGTTTTGCGAGTTTTTTTTTACAAAATAGCCAAAAAGAAGGAGCAACAAGTCTACATACAGTTGAAGAATCACTAAAAATGTGCCATATTCTGTTGTAAAGATTATTTATTTATTTAATTATTTGTTTGTTTATTTATTTAATTCTTTCTTTCTTTCTCCCTTTCTCCCTTTCTTTCTTTCTTTCTTGATTAATTGATTGATTGATTTTTTCCCTAAAGAACTGTAGAAATGAAATCACAACTTACCACTCCAATGCCTTCGAACGTCATCATGACCACTCCAAAAGACAAAGGCAACGTTTTCCATCCCGAAAACTCAGGTAATTCTTTAGCGTCTGATATCGTACTACCACCATACACAACCAGACAGAGAACCCCGACCACATACAGAATATTTGACAACGCAGATAAAAATGTCAGAAATTTTAACGTTCGTATACACGATAAAATGATCACGGGAACTAGAAGGACTCCTATCCATTCTATGACGTCTAGATTGACATGAGCCTTGAATGCCTAAAATAAACATGTATTTTAATATTCTAGATCACATTAGTCTAATTCTTAGGCTAATTTTATAAGTCAGTCTCAGTTAGCTCAAGCTTCAAGAATACCAGGAAATCTCTAGCGCGAACAATAGACCTCTGCAGCTTTTACGTCATGTACCGTATACGCAATGCATTGTAGGATATGTTTGGGACAGAACATGGCGGATTTCTTTTGTTTTCTCCTGAAACTGATCCCACAATGCATTGAAAATCAAGTAGTGACGTAAAAGGTTCAGAAGTCTATTACATCTTTTACATGAAAACACTACACGTTAAAAAAGTTGTCATATCTCTTGCCTTATAGCTATACAGAAATATGCAGAAATTATGATCTTTTTTGCTTATATTTCAAGTATTTAAATATATCAGAAATTATGGGATATCGCCAATATTTTTTCCAGAAAGTAAAAGCGCTAGGCAACTTAAAGAAAAAAAGATATCCCATAATTTCTGATATATTTAATATATTGAAATGTGAGTCAAAAAATCATAATTTGTACATATTGCTATAAATATGAGTATATAAAATAAACAAAACGTTTGCCTCGTTTTCTCTTGAGATATCAATGAAACCAACTCGAAGATAAAATCCCGGCGTATCTCCTCGCGCCCATGTAATATCAATATATTTGATTAATCAATTACTATTTACCTCATGAAGGCTTTGAGCAACAAATAAGAAATAAATACAACAAAATCCAAATTCAGTTATGAGWAGGAACGTGTTGACAATGTATCTGGAAATAAAAAAAATTAATTAATTATTTATCATGACCACTCATACTTCATCTAATAGATCGAAAGCATGGATGAAGAATATTGTAAGGTACGGTAATACGAGCAGCAAAATCATCCAACTCTTGCTGCAAAACAAGTGGCAAAGCGATGTTGCGCGTTTTACTACTGGCGAACCAACTTTTTTTCGCAGCAAAATATTTTGTTGCAAGTTGAAAAAGTTTGCTGCAGAAAGTAGAAGATRGTTCTACTTTTTGCACCAAAACTCGAAGATGTTGCCCGTATTACTACATCAACCCAACTTGTCTCGCAGCAAAGTGAGGTCGCGCGACAATCAGCTGACTGCATTGGCCAATCAGAAATAAGGATTTGCTCAACCTGCATCATACTATTTTGATGCGAGACAATTTGGTTCGTCAGAAGTAAAACACACAACATCGCTTTTCAACTTGTTTTCAACTTACACCAATGATCACTTTATAATTTTAACTGTGTCGGCGAGCAATACTAGTATTAATTTTAAAAGAATAACAATAGTAATAATTACCGGCCAAGATGTTTTTGTTCCGGGTAATACTGTATAATGCATTTTTCAGCTAGCTCAGCATAATCTAGCGACATGCTCTTCGTTCTATGAAAAAAAATCAGTTTGTCAATACTTCGGCGTTCTTTGAATTTTAGATGACATGGTATCATGTGACCAAATCGTAAATGTGCAGCGCCATCTTGAAAACAAAGCATGATGGGAAATTTTAGTTGTACAGCTTGCTTTGGACTCTAAGCCGTCCTTATGTCAAATCAACATATGTACCGAATTAGAAGAAATCCACATCTACCTTTAATTTTTTTCATTGACCTTGTTCGGACTTTGTCTTGTCGACATAGTGCGCAGAATATTCATCACAAGGTAGCGTGCCATGAAGCGCGAACACAAACTGCTAAGGTATCAAGTTCTTTCAAGAGTGCGTTGAGCCCTCCAGAACTACCGCCTTCGTGGCATGTTGCGTTCTCAGTAGAATGGCCGCTGTTGTTGACAAGCTTCGCTTTAACAGAGTCTTCAATCAAGTTTTCACTTTTCATCATCTCATCGGACGGGACATGTCGACAGGTTTGCTCATATCAAGGCCGAGTTCGAGAAAGATTTTCGTTCAATTGCTCTCAAGCAAGATAAACAGTTTACCATATTTTGAATCTTTGTATGAAGACGTCGAATTTTAACAAAAGAAGTTATATCATTTCTTCCGTTAATTTTTTACGTCTTCATACAAAGAGAAATCACTAGATACTAATTTAAAACGTCATAATACGTGCTATGACGTCATTAATTGCGCGCGCTGACTGATTTGTTTGCGCATGCTCTGTTTGCGCGGCCTGTTTCTCTTGGTCAGCGCCGAAAACGACTKTAAAAATTCTTATTTTTATGAATTTTCATTAATTCTTTTAATTTGCATACACAATTTCGGAGTTTTCTCCGGAGATAATTAACTGCAATATGTGGGGCTAGTACCCAGGGACGAGCGTATTTTCAGGTAATATGTGGAATAGCAATATGGAATAGAAGCTTTATTTATGTACATGGTAGCAAAAATTGCTAAATTGCGTACAATACTAATTAAAAAAATATGTGATAATAATAATAATAATAATATCGGTGAGTTATAGTTTTGCTCCAGGTACCACCTTTTTTTGCTTACGCCTTCCATCAATATTTATTAAAGCGCTTACGCAAATCGTCTACATATAGACAACGGGCAGCGGCGTCTTCTGGGACAATCTTAGTGGACCTTAAATACGAGAACTACATCTCCMATCATGCTTTGTTATATATATGGCTGGRCTTYCTGTGGATTTTAAGAGARCCCAGGCYCCTAAAGYCTATCAACAAAGGAATCCCATAAAATGACTATAATACCTGTAACTTTGAGCGTGACTACACTGCACCAACAGAAACATACAATGGACAGTTACTATTGCAATGATAACCACTAACAATGGCCCAACCTAAAAAACAATATCATACAAACCTGCCATAAATTAAAAAAAATGATAAATAGATTTAAAAAAAGTTAAATTAAAAAATATAAGTAATAGCCAGTCCATATGAGAATGCACGATTAAAAAGAACATTCTTCGGTGGCTCTACTGGCTCAGTGCTTTAATGCCTCATAGATGCATCAATGCCCAAGTGCATCAATGGGGGGAGGGGGAGGGAGGGGGATATGCATAAAATGGTCACAAACAAAGCACAATAATGAAGGGTAGGTACATAGTCTCAAGAAGGGTTTCCTGACACCTTCCAACTGGATCTACAACTGAATTTTWTACTGACAACCCTTTCTGATGGATGAAATGGCGTATAATCTTTATACTTACCACGATGCCTGCATTCATCATTGCTAAGGGTAGGCTTAGTGCACCAATTCCAAGGTTTCCTTTAATCACATGCATCAGGCTGATAGCTGGTCTGAAGAAGAATGAAGTGAAACAGTATACTTTAAAATGTTGGATAAGCCAGTACAATCTAACATTGACGGTCATTTGTTGTTTGGTTGTTATGTTTGATGTTGATGGATGCTATTGGATGGTACATCAAGCATATTGGATGGAGTGAGACATTTGATCACCCAAGAATTATTCATCTGGCTAGGACATAAAGTCTAATCTGTATCAGTCAATTGAAACCACGCCCATCAGATAGGGGAAAAGATTTTTAATAATAATAATGGTATTGGAATTTTCAGGCTCTCAAAGACAAAGAGAAGGAAACTGAAGAGATAATTGCCTTTGATTTGTACACTCCCTCGCCTTCGTGGATTGATGCTTTAAAACAGTGTTAAATCACAAGCTTTAATATAGTGTAGTAATTCCCAGCCCTTAGTTTCAATAAAATTGACTTATGTCTAAGATTTTCTGTTCAGGTTTATTTTTGTATGTAGTTGTTTAAAAATATTATTATCCTTAAAAGCTATGTATATTAGTAAAACCATAAAAATATGTGGATTGCAAAATCAACGACGGACGAAAATCACGGGAAAGATGAGGGTACGTCACATGACTTCCGTCACGTTAACTGTCACGCCATGGAAACTAGAAATGTCTTGGAACATAAAGTTAAGAACTTTTTTAACAGTATAGTTAACAAACGATTCTGAATGTTGGGAGACTATCTTAACCTGAGTTGTAGAGTAGATAATTTGTCGGCATAAAGATAGTTTGCGTAATTCAATACTGAAGAATTCCATAGTCAGAGGAACTATAATTCAGATATGTTGTATAAACTACTTACGTTGTAGTGTGTTTGATATACAGACTTCTGTCAACTTCCCCGGTGCTGGGGAATTCATTGGAGCGCTTTAGAACACTAGAGATTGAGTGCGATTGGCTTCCCAAAAGCGGCGATTTCTCGGAATCCACAACATGTTGTCTGCAGTTTGACTCCATTTTCTTCGTAATTTCAGAGGATTTTTTTTGTGGGTTTGTTTCCTAAAATGATGTTGTTTTTTTAAAGAATTCACTGCAATACGGACTTGGAAATGTGAATTCTCAGTAGTTACAAAACTCGCTAGTTCTTATTTTACCGCGTTGTGATTCGACTTGTGTGATCCCGTCACGCAAYACTGCTCAGACTCGTGACAAACCACTAAGATGAGCTCGTCCCCAGGTTATTCTTTCACGGTTAGGTATGACGTCATTTGGTGACAGATAGGAATGCGGCATCATGAGTTCAATTTTTTACTAGTCGGTTAAGACAGAAGCGTTAAATGGAAGCACTACGCCAGTGACTTACATCTCGTTCATTAGTGAATGTTAGCTTTAAACAATACCCCAGTAAAAAATAAATAAAAAGCCGTCACGTCGTCACGTTGCAAATATCCAAACTCCGAGGTGCCGCGCGGGCATGCGCATTTGTATCCCTACGAAATTGTCATTGTGTGCAGTGCTACAGTAATAAGATTCGTATTCTTCCATTTCTCCTAGTCCAGTCCTGTCATCCTTTCGACCCCCCTCCAGGATTTTGATCCATGACACATAACCCGAAAATTTTAGATCAGCAATTCAGAGGCTCTTGCAATCCTGAAGACGAGTCAATGGATCCAGAATCCAACAACGTAGAAGAATTCCACGTCACAGGACAGCTGATAGTGTGAAAACTGTTCTCTAAATACCGAAATTGATGCTTGTTTTCTGCACTGGTCTCTTCTTCTAACAGTCGCGACTTCCGGTTTTGTCAAATTTCCTAAAGTAATTTTCGGGGAGCAAATATGACGAAACCGGAAGTCGCGGCTGCTAGAAGAGACTACTTCTGCACAGATAAATTACTCTTTACATTTGTTAAAATTTCATTTGGATACCTTGGTCCGACATATCATGAAAACCGGACCGTGCTGCACCAACCAAATAACGCACCATTTACAGCCGATGATATTACTAAAGAAAGTGGACCAAGCATTATGGTGCGTATATTGAAGTGCTACCACCGTTCAAAATGTGTTTGATAGCACTACAGGGGAGACCCAACCAAGGGGAGGATTGTGGATGTTGCACCGCCCTGTCATACCAACGAAACCACACGTGACAGACAGGCTTCAGCATGCTGCTGTGGAGTTACTGTGCATGAAGTACATTGCAATAAACCCAAGTTATGAAGCAATGAATTGACAACGATGTATAAATACGTTATTTGGTTTAGTTTTATAAACTTCACAGTCAGAAATTTTCAATATAATTCTATGGGGAATAGCAATCGATATGACATCGCGAATCCAATCACTGCTTTTCAAATGAACTTCAAAGTTTCATTGTATTACACAAAAAAAGATATGAAAACAGTTATTGTGATCGATTGAATTCACGCTTGTTCTAAATATCAGAAAGCCAATTACACACTACTACTATAACAAACATACAGTGGTAAAAAAAAACTCAGGAAAAAAGGAAATTTTCATCTGTATATTATTATTTATCAGGATTAGTCAAGCTAACCCAAATTTCAATACTTGTACGTCTGAAGCTKTTATGTAGGTATATTTTGAAATTTCAATTTTCTGTCGAAAATGTTCCACATAATAACTGTAGGACTAAAAAAATCTGTGACTGTTTGACATTGATTGCTTTATTTGGCGGGTTTCCCGCCACGGGCCGACGAGCCACTACTGCGGCGTTGACCACGCGCGTTCCCGCCAAAACCACCACGTCCACCAGAACCTGGCCCTCCRGGTGCTCCGCGACCTCCCTGTCCTCCACCACGCCCGCCACCTTTACCGCCAGCGGCTCCTCTTCCTGCACCAGAAGGAGCGTCACGGCGTGCTCCACTGGGCTTTTTCTCCTCAATGTTGATATCCTGGTTTCCGATTTTGATTGGCTGAAAGGAAAATAAAATAGTCATACCTGAAATTCTCGAACTCGGTMCCTTTCAATCTTCCAACAWAGAACTGAGYGATTGTCACTATTGYATTGCAAGACATGCCGACTTCTTACCTTGTTCAATAGGATCTGTTTCACTGGTTCTGGACTTGTAAAAATGACAAAACCAAAGTTCTGAACAAACAAAGTTAATCATCATTATTAATTGCTTAGAAAGAAGGTTGCTCAATAATGTTGTGAGAAGCATTGAATAAGGGGAGTGAAATATGGTTATTTTATTAACCAATGTGCAATGAATTAATGTAAGAACATAATTTGCTACCTACCTTTGGGTTCAGTCTGATCTCCAGAATAGATCCATACTCTGAAAAAAGTATCATTAAACACACATAAGAATACAATGCATTATATCTGAGTAATTMTTCAGCCACAGAAAAAGTAATAACATAAATCAAGGAGTATACCAGATGTTCTAGCAGCTTTTCCGATGTTTAAAGGGACATGGTTCACAAGCATTCAATGTGGTTGAGTTTTAATTTTTTTTTAGATATGAAAAATAATGTGACTTCAAATATTCATTCGCAATCCATTTCCATCCATAGGTTTTAAGATCGTATCTTGCAATATCTCYACTCATATAGCATAAATGGATAATAAAGGGTGTCTTTTTGCTTATATTACGTTGTATTTTTATTTTCAAACCTAAACAAAAGCTCAAAAGGGATGCTGGTTGACCATGGCCCTCTAGGGCATCTTCCTGTATCACAGATTCTTACTTGCAAAAACTTCTCTGACTTCTGCATCTTTCACACCATTTGGTAGATTACCAATAAACACTTGATGATCATCAGGTGCATTTCTTGCTGCCATGCGGCTCTCTTTATTGGGAAAGCCACTCCTTTCACGTTGGGCAGGTGGCTTTGGAGCTGCTGGTTGCACAACAGCTGGGCGCTGAAAAACGAATCAGAAAARCCTATGACATTTCTGRGTTYGACAARTTTTAYGYCTTACAAATGAAAACTGGACAGAATTTCAAAATCATGCCAATCTGTCCCAGCAAAGCCTTGCAGTGGACCTGAATAAAAGAACTTTCAAATMCTGCCTGGCCTGTATTCAAATTATYGCAATATCAACATACTGGAGGTGTGACTTTTGGTTGTGGCTTGGGTGTTGGYGCAGTAACCACAGGTGCTCCACTTGATCTACCTAACATGGCTGCCCAAGTTTTTGGCTTTTCCTCTGTAAATGAAAGATATTTTATTTGTCTTTTTATAACTCTATATTGACAATAGCAGATGTATGATATTGTAAAATGTTATGTCTAATCAATCGTTCCCAAGATCATGCATATTATCATGGTTATTATTTTGCAAATAAACTTTGAATTAACTTTTCCAAAACTCATTTGTAGCAGACAAAATGAAAGAATGGGAAACAAAGAAAATCCACATAGGTGTTGAAATCAATGCAAGCAAAACTTGTAAAAAAGAAAACGCAAAAAGCACATTAATAATAAGATACATGTATAAAAAAAACAAATGATGTGAGACTGATTGCCCACCCCCCTTCACATGGTGCATCCCTAAATCTATAACAATAGAAATAACAAAGGACAGGGGGGGGGCCTGCAGGTCATTTACCTTGAGGTTTAGGAGACTCCTGAGGTTGTTCCTCATCTCCATAATGGTCMGTTGATGGAACTTCATTAGGTTCAGTAATGATTGGGGTGTCATCAAGAGGGAGGCTGTCTTCTGACTCAGCAGGCTTTATGTCTGACAAGTCTCTTGAGGCATCATTAACTGAAACCTTCAAAACAAGAKCTACATGTAAGATATCTAAAGCATTATTTGATATCATGTATGTAGTCTTCAACACTCATCATGTTTATTCATAATGGTGGAAACTATCGGTAAACAAGCTGCTTCTGTGTTTCTAAAGTAAAAGTTGTCTAAACTCCAACCAAGAATTAATGCTGGAAACTTTAGTTTCACCTTTTTCACGGTGTTAAAATTTATGCTTGTTTATACCTCTGTTGGCTGCTTGTCAACCACTATTTCTTGCAGTTCTTGGGAATCCTCTTGTAAAATTTGATTTGGCATCAAATTACCTCCATCACTACAGCAAAGATGCAAAAAAAAAAAATATTAATAGATATTTCAGAAAGGATTTTGTCAGATACAGAGAGTGGATGAATAACCAAAGTCATTCACTATACTGTAAACTCTCGCTATTACTGACACCCTTGGGACAGTAATTTAGTGTCTGCAGTAGTGAGAGTCCTTAATAACAGGAGTTACTTTCAGTCATTTCTTTGTATTTTTTCCAGGGATTCATTGTTTCATGTCAGTAATATTGAGGTGTCCATAATATCGGGAGTTGACTGTACATTAAACATAGACTCACTCATTTTAAATTAATATCTGTTTTTGTTTTGTTTTTAACAAGTTCATTATTATCAAAATCAGTTCATTTTTTCACAAATGTTTATGATACTAATTATCATTACTGATAATATAATATACTATTCAGTTGTGCAAAGTCTGAGAGATAAGGACAATCAAATCAAATCCATTCAGGTCAATACCACCAGTACTTGTGAATRATTACTRCCATTGATAATCAAAGTAAAATTGAGGGATGCATTTAACAYTCTTTTGTACACAAGACATACCTGTTTGACCTAACAGTGCTTGTGTAGTACATTTGGTTGGATGGCATATCCTGGCCAACATTCTGTACAAGCATGGTGTCCTGGGACTGCTTGTAGTTATTGACTCCATTTGGAACTTGATTATTTGGCTCCTCTTCTCCTTCAGAATCTACATCAAAACACAATCATTTATTGCCGTGTAAATCAATAACATAACAAGACATTATTGTCGCTTGAAGTCACAGACAGTAAACCAGACATTCAGTAAACCAGACACTTTGCTGTCTAAGTCAGACAGTAAACTAGACGCTTTGCCGTCTAAGTCAGACCGTAAACCAGACATTTTGCCGTCTAAGTCAACCTTAATGTATTCATGCCTAACATATTAATATTCCACTATCTGCATTAATGTCACTGTTTTTCACCCACAATGTAAACCATCAGTAAGTTTTCTTGTCATACACTGTAATTACTCATTTTATCAGAAATGCCAACAAACATAACAAAATATAATTATTCACTAGATTATTATTAACAAGGGGAATTCAAAGGAACCAAGATTTATGTGACTATCTTACCAACTGTTCCATCAGCTGTTTCATCACTGGTTTCTTCATGGAAGACCTCGTCTTGGTACCTGAAGATGTCATTGTGGACATAGTATTTCTTTGGGTCCTACGAAGGAAAGACAGGGCTGATTAGAAGAGATAAGAGATTAACATTTCTTGTAAACAAATCCATCAAAAATGGAAATGACAAATCTTTATATAAACGATGCTAATTTTACACAGATGTTCTTGAATGCATGGCAATACTATTGCCTGGCTATCAAGTTTATGGAAATATTTTGCTAATGATCTCTATCACAATTCCTTGTGCATCAAAGCAAGATGACCAGTGAACATGCAATAATGCAAACTTTAGTTCACACCTACAAAAAATACTTTTATAGCTAGCTTACTGGCCAAGTTGTTTTGGTGCAAACATATCATTACTTTTCGAGATGCCACAGGGCACTGTCAAATAGATTATTCYCAAACCTTTTAAAATAACATTATAAGACAATATCAACTTACTTCTCCAGGAGCCAAGACAAAGGTTTGCATGAATCTTCTCATATTCTGGCCATTGTTGGACAGCTCTCCAGACACTTGGACAACTACACCGGACCCAAGGGTGGAGTGACTGTCTACTTGCCGAATCTTGGTACGGCAGTCAAGGAAATTCAGTTCCTGGATTTTCTTGTAAATTGCCTTTTGAATGAACAAAAATAAATATTAAAAAWAGGTAAAACTAAATGAAAATGAGTCACTGTGTCACTGTAACGAATAATATTGGTTATGGAGTGCAGGATCTAGTCAACCCCTTTTTGTTAGGGACAACCTTAGTACCAGATTTGTGCCGTCCTTATACTTTCCAGATTTCTCTGTGGCATCTTTGTATAGCGGTGATAGTTGATTACATTGTAATTTCCAATTTCTTGTTACTAGAGTTGTCAGTTATCGTCATAAAAAATATTGACTATCTAACCAAGTATATCACAGCCAAGAAAACAACTTAATTCAGCGGGTTTAGTGATTTTACTTTACCTCTTGCCCAGTGGCTGGTTCTGCATGAGTGTTGCCAGAGTCTCCATGAGAAAATATGGAGTTTTTTGTGTAGAATCTGTAAAGAMAATTGCTTATGTTAAAAGCCTTTATCCATATTGTACAAAATTGCAGATAACAGCATCTCATATATCAAATCACAACAGCAACATCTGAGAATTCAATATTCTAAAAGATATTACTTGTAATGCAAACATTTCTTTAGCAAACAATGCTTTGCTTACATAAATTCCCATTTCAAATTTAGTGCTTTTTGCTCCATTTGATATAGTGCAAAAACTAAGTGAATAAAAGTGCTAACCAAATAATTCTAAAATAGCACAATATAKTGTAAATTAGACAATAGAAACTGAATTCACATAATGCATAGAAATGAGAGGAATCAATTTCTAAATTTCATGAATTCATATAATGGAAATCTTTTAAAATTACCGAAAAACGTCAACAGAGACCTATATTTACTTCTAAATAGTACAGTCTGACCAGCAAGTTCTGTACCCTATAACATTATACATTCTGTGGACCTAGAGTGATAGATAGATACCTGTGAAGCTTCAAGGGTTCTTGGTTGAGTAGAGTGTAATATTGCCTCACAAACTCTCTCCCAACACACTGAGGACTCAGAATGACAGGAGTTCTACTTTCCTCCATCACCACCATCACCTATATAAACATGAACCAATGAATTGACTAAATAAYGGCCYGACATATGCAGGACAARATGTCCTTCCAAATTCATTTTTGGAAGGTCATGTCAAGTTTTGAAAGGACAAAATTTTTATTAYATTATTATTTTCCTTTAATTCATAGACATAMGTTTTTGCATTCAAAAAGATCAGCAAGCATTTTAATGGCTTGTAAAAGATTTATATTGCGATTGTTTTTTTATTTGTTTAAAAATGTTGCAGGTCGATTTGTCCTTTCAAAACCTAATTTGGACAGTAATCTAGCGAATTTGGAAGAACAYTGTCCTTTGACCGGCCATTATTTCAAGACCTGGGCTGTGCAACAGGACACATCACAGCAAAGGCAWGGCACTGCAGCCCAGTCCTCATAATCAAAGACAACTGATAAACTTCTGAACATTTAAGCTTTGAAAAATGTATTACAATTGAGTTTGATATAGCAAAAAAAAAATGTGTCTCCTTTCTGATTTCATTTGGTAAAACTTTTATTAATTGAAATTTCATAACAGTGATTTGTAGTATTATGTGGAAAGTATTCAAGTAGGACTCAGAATTTACTGCAGGATGTTGTTCAGCGCAACCACGCACCCTATCAGATGTACTAAAAATATGCTCATGATGCAGAAGGTGCAGAATTTACCCCASGATGCAGTTCCACAATCACACATTCTAATGTTCCTGTGTAAAGGAATGCCAATGAAAGTAACAGCCAATCCACCTGTTAAAGGGAGCTTCTTTATAGATGTAAAGAAAGTATTTTGGTAACACATCGTAATTAGGTTCCTATTATCCAATTACACTCAAAATATTGTTTTTATTGCTGACATTTGCTCCGAGCAAGAAAACGAGTTGAAGTTGCCCACACAAACACAACAGGAGTCTTCATTTGTGATATGTTATTCCGGAATTCATTCTCAAGTCGTAAATCGACTTAACAAGTTATAAGTGTTAAAAGAGCTTCCCACACAACATAAAAGTAGACAGCACTCATTACAATCAGTTTCTAATGATTTTTTTACTGAACACAAGAAAGGAGATGACAACTAGGTGACTTTTAAATAACTTAAATAGAGCCAAGCTTTCACAACGTGACGAACGTAAATTTAAGCTCAGGTATTTCTTAACTCGATTAGTCTTCAAACTTATAGGAAACCAAGCAAAAGATTTCTGAGCTACCAACCCACACTTGCATATATTAGAATACTACATATGTGATCACTATAGTTCGAGAGTATTGCAAAACTTGTATAAAGTAGTCCATCTGTTGCCCGATCACTCACGGACCGGCATTTTTCTGTCGTGTTTGTGAACCTGATTTCATGGCTTGAATTTCAAGGTTTTTTACTCTAATTTTCGAAGGAGTTTGCCGCTTCAAGCCGATAATCTAATCAAGGCCTAACCCTTCAGATTGGAGGCTATTATAATTAAAAACTACRTAGAAATGATCCGAATCAAACAGTGCCCAGCCCAATGGTCCACGCGCTCATTTTTGACGAGTCCAACAAGACCTCTTGCAAAAGATGTGAATCCATAGTTTTTCTAGCKAGACATACCTTGAGTTTTTGCTTAGATCACCAGCGTCAAACTTCGCAAATCATCTCTGAGGCAATATGATGTGTGTAATCGAAATCTGTGGGAAGGAAAATAAAATAAAAACCTTGTAAAGAACACTTTTCGTCTTTTCACTCTACTCCAACTAGGAATCACATGGTCCCAAAGGACATGCGCAAAACATTACTATGTACGGACATGTCTGTACTGCGCATGCGCACTACTCCAGGCTCTCGCGGTCAAGAATGAATCGGCAAAAAACATCCTTTTCTTCCCTTTTTTTCAATTTTATTTTTCAGATTTCTAACATTTAATCCAAATAAAGCAAATCGACAAAATTGTCATATTTCAAGGAGGACTACAATTACTATATAATGGAGTTTGAGCAATAACACTGCACAAACCTCCCCTTTGGCACACACCGACTTGAAATGTGATCTGAGAAACTTCAAAAGACATTACCCTGCTACCTGAATGTCTCTATGCATTCAATGAATTACAGGGTTCGTGCAAAATTTTCACTACAAAATTCCAGGACTTTTCAAGTACTTTTTAAGCACAAAAATGCGATTTTCAAGGACTGTTTTTGAAGATATTTTTTGATGTTTGCCAATGTTCCCGCAGSAGGCGATTTTCAAAAATAGCCACATTGCAAAAGGCAATATGTTTATTTCATAAAACTCAAGGAGTTTTCCAGGAGTTTTAGCGATTTTTACCATTCTCAAGGGCTTTTCAAGCGCCCTTGAAAATGARTTTTCAATTCCAGGAGTTTTCAAGGATTTCAAGGAGTAGCGAGATCCCTGGAAATTAGGTGCAGTCAACATTAGAGGACATCAGAAAGAGGGAGCTTGCCTGAGCCTGCACATTGTACTCACAAACAGAGGATCCAAATTCTTTTGTCTAAAACGATTCTCAAGCTTCAGCAGAGAAACAATACTGCAATAGCAACTTCCGCGTTTGCAGACAAATCTAAGAGTTCTTCTGGATGTGATACAAGCTAGTATTGTAATTTCATAAACGTTTAACTCTATTATAGAGCAAATGCAGGGGATAACTGAAAAAAYCTTGTGACTGCATGTTCTGTTACATGCACAAAACWTGTCAAGATAGGAAATATTAGAGTACAAACACTAAAACTGTGCAACATAAATACCACTAAATACTGCTAAATAATGCTAATTCTATTGTTATATTAGCACTATTTAAATTTTGTAGTAAAAAGAGCAAAGCGTTGCACACTTTTAGTGTTTGTTTTTAACAATAAAAATCACTATTTTTTGGATGAACAGCAACTGAATTATCTCCTAAGTTTAACTGCATTCCTTTACTCTTGTTTTAGACATATAGTAAAGATTTTAACACTTTCTAAAATACTCATKTTTCATCATAAACATAGTTCAAATTCACTGCTTTTGCAGTTAATAAATATTTTATTGATACTAATAATTTGCAAAGCCTTCAATTTTCATAAAAAGGAGTGAAGAGTTGTCATATTTTTACATTAACTAATACATAGAATATAATAATTACTGGATCTCCCTTAGATTTTAATTATCATGACAAATTGAATAAAAAAGTCTGTTTGACCAATGAATCAATAAAGGTTAATCGCTAGACATATACAATCTTGCAATGATGCACATATATCTACACTAAAGAAAATGGAGAAATAAATGTCCAATGGATACATTTTTAGTTAAAAAATTAGATGCATAGTAAACAAGTCTCTCTGCTTCRGCCAATGGCTACCAGTTTGTGTAAACTATTGACAGAAGTTCCCTGAAGTAAACCAGTTGATGACACTACTAAAATGATGATCCTATGAAGCCGCACGTCTGTGATATTCAGGAGTAGCTGTTTCATAATCAGTTGAAAATAAGCTATCTGCATTAGCTGCCAAGTAGTCCAAGCAATCATGAATATGACTAACAACAAATCGTATACTTTTGTCCTCAAGATTTGAATATGACAAGGCATTACCAAGCTTAACAAAKAGTCTAAGCAAGTGTTCAGAACCATAGATTTGAGACATTGGTAGATTAGGGTTTTCTGAGAGCAAATCCCCATACTGTGGACGCTCAAATTTATACAACAATTGAGTTCCTAGCATGACATTGAAGTATTCTTGGACTCCATCAACAACCTCTTGTGCCACACCGGGCTTGATGCCGTTAGGATTCTTTGCCCTATGTTTAGCATATTCATCTAATATATCTGCTATTGTCTTTTTTCTTGGAAGAGGAACAAGCTGTTTTTGTCTTGTTATTAGATCCCAATCGTCAACTAACCACTGCTTTAGATCATCAGGTATATTTATTTTTACATCTAACCGAGAGACATAGTTTTCATCATTGTCTGGATTATTTAGCCTGGCTCTCTTTCTTCTKGTCTGTCCAGTTCCTGCTTGGGGTTCTTCACGTTTAAGATTTTTGTCAGTCTCAGTAGTTATGGGCGTTTTYTCTTGCTTTTTTCTTGGCTTCTTGTTTTTGCTGCAACAAGGAACAAATGAAAGTGACATTTTATAATATGAATAAAAATAATTGCCTGCACTTTGATGAAAGAAATTATCATTAAAGGATGTTATTAAGGCATAAATGAATAATTTGTTGTTATGTAAGTCTGACAAGAAAATAGAAATTGGATAGTAACAATTCATGATGTTGATATATCATCATGTGACTTAATAACAAGGACCACCTTGAATGGTTTTTGAAGTCTTTTCAATGAACAGTCATTTTACTGTAATATAACACGTACACTTCCAGGAATGACTTCTTTTAAAATAGAAGGTCGTATTATTGGTCATAGCTAAATTTACTAAGAGCAGACTGGCTCTAGACTACTTCCAAAACCTGCAATTTGAAAAGTAGTAAGTTTGATGCAGCTTCCGTGGTTTGAGTTCAGTTAGCAGTCTATCGAGTGAATGATAATTTAAAGATTCGGCGCCACCCTTGATGCGAATCGCTATCTTACTATAAAAGCRCAAAGCTTTCACATTTAAGCAGAATTCAGGATGATTCATACAGCTAGACAATTCGCACGTGTAGGATTTCTCAGAACCGAGTGCATCGCATCGACCATGCTGCATGTGACATAACAATACGATCAAAGGACACCAAACTTACGACTAAACAACCAGGAGAGGCGATAAGATTAACAACAATTACATACATTTGTTCCCTAAGTTCCTTCTGCTTCATCAGATTAGCTTCGTTAAATTTCAGAACACGACTTTCAGGTACCCACTCGTCCCAATTCTTGTTCCAGCCGTTGTAGTGAATCAGATAACGCGGTGTTTTTTCCTTAACTTGTCCCTTCATACATTTAGCTTCATAKATTAAAGGCCCGTGGAAACAAAGCACACGTTCTCCTTCGGCAAACTTCAACTTTGGCGGCATTAGTAAGCTTATTTTTGAGCCTAAATATACGCTGACTCACTAAACCGGCGAAAATTCACTACAATGTCGAAGTGTTCGAGAAAAACGTGGTTGCTGTGCTTTGGTACAAGCTACCTGATTGGTCTAAATTTTTTATTCTTTTTTTATAACCAATCAACGACGCGCTTAGAATTATAATCCCATAATGCATTGTAAACAATGCCTTCGGTGTGTCCAGSCTGGTGTGTCGGACCAAAAATGATTTCAGTTACCGGAAGTCTTCATTCGCGCCAGTCATGAATCGCTTCATCAGTCACAAAAGRGYTCTATGTTTTTTGRTGATTTTAGYTTTCGTAWTTGTCATCGTAGAAATCTCTATGTATTCGTCTAGCGAACGCAAAGACTCACTTGTGGACACTGTTCAACAGCAGATCGTCAATTTCGAAGGTAAATTAGATGATCCAGACTATGTCATTGTCAGTGATGTCCCAGGAAAATCTCCCCAATATGATGAAAACTGGATGGATGRATATACAGAAGGTAGACAAACCCCTCATTTTTATTAAGCTTCTAAGCTTATCATTTTGAAAATTTKGTCAGACTTCTAGACTGTCTCAAGAAGTAAAAGTGAATGCATGGTTGCTGAAATGATATCTGAAGTGATCTTTTATAAATTATATATAACTTATGCTAAGTTGGCTATCAAAAATTTGCTGACAATGATAACTTTGTTATTTTTTTCATCTGCAATTAGCATACTCAATAACACACATAGGCCATTTGCATGATGGTGTAACTTTATACTACTTGCCAGAAATCCTTGCACCTTTCTTTTTACTATTCAGGGTTTTAATCCCTTTATTGACATTAGTAGATTTTATTCAGTTGGACAAACTTACTATGATCCATAAATATCAATCGATGTAGACTACAAACTTCTCAAGCAATCAGATTAGACGCTGCAAAAGATCAACTTTTGAAACAGGGCTTAGTCAACAAGGACGTCTATTGAAATCTTTAAAATAATGATTGAATTGTTTGTATKTCATTTTTAGATAACATATTTTATGACAAAGTTGAGCACAATGTTAATGTGAAAAAGCCTGCAGCATACGCAGCAAAGCACAAACTCCCTATTATTATGTGGTGGACCCATTTCACTGGCGAGAATATTGTGAAAAGATGTGAYATGGGAGAATGCTATGTAACTGAGGCAAGAAAGTTCAAGACACATCCAAGAACAAAGGCATTTTTGTTCTATGGAACTAACTTTAAACCCTCAGATTTACCATTGCCAAGACTAGGTAAGACACTCAGTGTTGTTTCATTAGAGTTTAAAGRAGGCAAAATACGAGCTACAAAAACCATTAACTTGGCGTGCAATATTGTTTCTGTTCRAGTTKAGCATCGAAGTTTATCGTTTTATATGCATCTTCAACTTGTCATACAAAAAAGCACAACRTGAAAAACGAGAAACATCGATTCTCAWCTTGAACAGACACAATGTTGCGCGCCAAGTTGGTGTTTTTTGTATCTTGTATTTCGCCGCCTTAAAAAGAAAAGCCTACAACAGCTTATAGAGGAATACAAACGCCATCATGCTTTGCTGCACAAAATGCCATTGCTGCCCATTRCATATAGTAAGCTTACTATAACATGTTGTATTGATCCTTTTCTAGCTCATCATGAATGGGGTTTGTTCCATGAAGAATCCCCAAAGAACAACCCTATTTTGCATCACCAAGACACTATTGAGCTCTTCAATCATACRTCAACATTCCGTCGTCACTCCGATTTCACTGTGGTCACCCAGTATCTCAATTCATTGGATGAACTTCTGAAGCCTCCACAATTTTCTTTACACAAGAAGAGCAAAAATGGACTTGCTTCTGTTGTTTACATACAAAGTGGYTGCAATCCRCCATCAGACAGAGATGCTTATGTTGCACAACTGATGAAGTAYATTARAATAGACTCATATGGCAAGTGCCTTCACAATAAAGACTTGCCTCCTAAATATGTGGATCCTTTAACAATGGATGACAAAGGCTTTCAGACAATCATGGCACAGTATAAGTTCACTATATCAATGGAAAATGCCATATGTGATGATTACATTACAGAAAAGTTATGGCGTCCAATGATTTTGGGYTCTGTTCCTATTTACCGAGGTTCACCGAGTGTCAACGATTGGATGCCCAATAAYCACTCAATCATCCTTATTGATRATTTTAAGACTCCAAAGGCTTTAGCAGATTATATCAAGTGGCTTGACAATAACGACAAAGAGTACCTCAAGTATCTTGAATATAAAGATGCTGGAGTTACTAATAAAAATTTATTAAACTTCATGAAGAAAAGACCTTGGGGTCATGGACTTGAAGATGGTAACTTTGTAACAGGGTTCCAATGTTTAGTTTGTGATCGAATTCATGAGAATCTAAAACTTGCATCAAGTGGTTCGTCAATCAAGCAGCATATTGCAACACAGGATCATTATGGGTGTCCGGCACCAGTTCAATTTGATTTTCCTATGACTGACATGCCTGAATATGAACGAAATATATGGAAGGACGAGTATGACTTTACCAAACGACAGTCACATTATCTGAAAATAAGAGTGTTGAATAGTACTAGAACTGCTTCAAGGATTAATATCAAGAGCACATTACTTTAGAAAAAAGAGTGGCTTTTTATTCATGTTCATAAAAAGTGTTTATAATACAATAGCAAACAAAGGCGTTAGCATAGAGAGGATTTCCCATGACTTTGCACTGAGACCATACGGTGCTGTGACAGTGATGTATTTTTCGAAATGAAATAACATAAAAAAACAAGGATTTTTACAAAAAAATAATAAATAATATAAAAATAATAAATAATATTTTTAGGCAAATTTCAAATGGACCTATATTTTTGTATTAAAGAAATGTGTTGATAAGGAAATACAGTAAAAACCGTTTTTTGTGCACTTGTTTTGTGATGCCCGGCAGGATCTACATCAGAAACCACTGCAGGGGTGGATCCAGGGAGGTGGATTGGGTGGCTAGCCACCCCCCCCCCCCCCCCCCCTTACTTTTATTTTAGTTTTGAAAAAAAGAAAATAAATAACAGGATTATTGTATAACAGAAAATATGTATATTTACTTCGAAAAAAATATAGAGTGAGAAGAACTGTTTGATGTAAGTGATGTTTATATTCATAAATATCTTTCATAAAGTTTGTTGAAAAGTGCGAAATATAGGTGTGACCGAGATAGCGATAAACAATAATTTCACATGAGCCTAAAAAGTCATGTTAATTATTGCAACGCACTTTAATATTAAATTTTAATGTTAGCCACCCCCCTYTGAATCCACCCCTGCACTGAGACAAAGTTCTAAGGGTGGGGAATTGTTAGTCTCTGTTTTTCTTTTTTCTTATGTTTATTTGATGCTTCTATGCTTTGCAATGATTTTGAAAATTAAAATCCTGCTCCCACACTAGACTCATGAATTCTTGGTTTGTGTCCAAAAGGGAGCCAGATTTTGTTTGACAGGATACATCTATAATAGTTTGTTTGCAAAGGTATGGTTTAGAAGTCAAATTGGGAGGAGTTGCATCATATTTTCCAACAGACGAACACAGTTGAGAGCAWCTACTTTTATTATCTTTTTACAATAAATTGAACAAGCCAGTAYATAATATCTCTTTTTATTCAAAATCCGCAACGACCTTTTTCAAAGGCYCATTACATACACAAACCTTCACATATGAAGCTAAAATTATTCTATCCTGGTTCCATAGGCTCAATTTAGATGCTTCTCTCTTTCCTTAGGTCRGAAATTACACACRGAAATTAAACTACTACAAAGAAAGAGCTGGCAAATCGAGCTTCTGGCCAGTCTAAAATTTATTCTAAACTAATTCTATTTTTTACTCTGCTCAATCTAATTTGATAGATTGTTTCCTGGAAGTGGATTTGATGAAAAAGCTATGTTTAAGTAAGTACATTCTTAGGAACACAGGGAAATGTACCTTCTGAGAGCAAGGACAGAGTAGCAGAAGAATTTCCCTGAGTGTCCAAGGATGTCTTCAGTCAAACTGGAATAAAACATGCAAAGGAGATTGCAAAGGGCAGTAGATAATAGTGAATGCATGGACACCACTGAGGCACATCCGCCATATAAAATGGTTATATCAATATGATATGGCTATTATTGTACAAGCTTATTGTTGCTTGCAGTTAGCAGTGGATGATACTCTTTACCCATGAACAAAACTGTACTAAGTCAGAATGTCTCACTTTATTAATATCTTATTAATATCACCCTTTATTTAAAAGGGTGTATGGTTGACCTTCGCAAACATTTTCCTATCTTTTAGGGTCAGTTTAAATGAACATTRCACAGCCTTGGCCAAGTTGTCAAAAGTTTAATTAGCACTAATTATGGATAACTAGAGTACAAACACTAAAACTGTGCAACATAAACACCACTAAATACTGCTAAATTATGMTGATTCTATTGTTTTCTATTGTTTAATTAACACTATTTTGTAGTAAATAGTGGAAAGTGTTGCACAAATTTAATGTTTGTACTCTATTAAAATTCCTAAGTTAACACTGGAAAGAAACAGATTTTCAAAAATGTCATAAAGCAATATAATATTCACAAGCCYGTACATCTTAGGGTCTGAATTCAGCACCTGAGTTTCTTATTGCTTATSTTTTAAGTTCATTCTCAAACCAAATCGATGAGCATYTCTACCACTTATGCAAGAGAGCATATCCTCCCCAGAAAACAAGTCAATAATACCAAGAAACCTGGATACRATRCAAACAGGAAAGTTTACTTCTGGGTTACAAATATTTCCATTGCAAGCAATTTTTATGACTATCAGTAATAAAATAAATGACACAAAGTAGTACACAAAATCTACAAATTCATTAAAAATAAATCAACTGAGACTATATACACATACCTAAATGAAAATTAAATCAAAATCATTCTCTGAAAAGTTATTGTATGGTGTACATACATTATGATTATCATTACGCGAATGATGTCTAGTTTGTTGAGGTGAATGCTTATGGGGTGATACTACTTTAATTCTATGAATTGAAACCTTATGGAGTAGATACATGTATTCACTTGGATTTCCTAAAATAGTCTTTTATTAAATACCTGCACCTAATTATTGCAAACTTCTAAATATCTAAAAATTGACTGTTTGAACTATAAATACTGTACATCAATAAACACACTTTGTGTGATCTAGCTAAGAACATAATTCTTTGTACTTTACGGATACCTAAGTATATATTATAACAAAATATCTCCTAAATAAAATATCTTTTTTTCTAATTAATAATACTTAAAATGACYATGCATATAATGTGAGATTGAAATGTGTTGTTAAGGTTTTCTTCATGGCATTTTTTCAAACKAGACTCTTTCGTAATTGTTTCATAATTKTCTTCATGCAAAGAGAAAAACTGGCATCAGAAACACATACAAAGGAGTYTRCCTTCAAATGTTATATTTGACAAGYTCAATGCAATTTACTCTTTTCTGTTTTCTCTCTAATCCTTTTTATTTGTTCACCATCTCAACCTTCAACATGAAGTTGGCAAATGAAACACTGGTGTTGCTAGATTATTTAAATGAGTAAACTTCATATTTTTTGTATTGTACATATTCATGSAAAACCAACCAAATTATCAAAACAATGAATCATAGAGCTACAGTACAAATGTTGGAATAAAATACGAAACTACAAGCTGACAATGATGCATTCCCATTTGACATTAGGATACCCCTGGACTACTGTGTTATCTTAAACCTGATAACACAGTGAACTTTATGTGCTACTCCTACTAGTTCTGTATTCTTTGATTTACATGTGCCTCTTTTCTATTCTCACAAATTAATGAAAACCAAACCCTTAATGTCACCCCTTACACTAAAATTACCTATATTCTCATCTTAATTAAAAATAAACATGTAAACAAGTTCATCTACTAGAGTGTAAAAAAGGTCCCTGACACTGAAAGCGGTGATTGAGAACATTGACTGATTCTGGTAATGCTCAGCATTGGTGGCCATATGTTTTCAAGATTTCAGTGGTTTGCCTCCCATTAGAATTTGGATCTTTCTAGTTGGGAAATTATCCTACGTATATATAGACTCTACTCTTTTGCTTTCATCTACAACAATGGCAGGTCTTCCACTGTCTTGGCAAACAACTAAAAATACTGTCTAAATCTATCAAAAATACTACAAAAAAAAACATCAATACTTAAACCTGTTAAGTTCTATCCYGAATGCCTTTAAATCTATTAAGCTGTTTTGCCTATCTAAAAAACCAGTAATCCTTTTTTATGTTAATGCATTGATGTAGCTGCTAAAAGTTCCCAAAATAGGTTTGTGACTCTATTTTTAACCCCAAGTTAAGTAGCATCTTTATCAATACRAACAAAAAATTAAAGTGAATAATAGTAACTCAAAACAAACTAGCAATATTGAAAACATCTCTACCAGTTTTACATGTAATAAAAAAAAAGCAGGAAAAACATTAGCAAATTGAAACAAAAGCAAGTTTCTCGTCGTTGTTATTTGTTTTGAAAACAAACTCTACAAAACAAATACAATTTAATACCATAAACTTCTTKGTAACATACATACATACCAATGAAACCAAAATTTTAATTAGGGTGTTCATCATTCTTTTTGAGAAAATGCTTTTGCTTTGTTACACAAATCTTGGATTGACAAAAGAAGTCACATGACCAGATTGTGAAAAACTACKTGTAAGACCTAAAAGTGTGCACTAAAAACATTCCACTTCAGACTATGGAGCTGCATTACTTTATACCTAGTGATCCTAATCTACCCACAAATAGTTCCCACCCCTTCCCATGTGTGGAAAGTATATTCCCYAAATTTTCCCCACAAGGGTAGAGACGAGAAAGGACCTCCACAGTCTAACACAAATCTATCATTTTTGTTGCAAATGTATCATTCTATTAATAATAAATTTACACTCTATTTAAAAAATTATCTGTTACTTTAGGGGATGCTTACATGGGACCAGTCATCCTACCCAYGTGAATATACTGCATTCTGTTTATATGGACATTTTTAAGGGATTATTTTTKGGGAGGAGAGGGTTGGAYGTGTGGAGGACCAAGGATCATACAACTATGAGTACCTTCCTGTTGACAGATAAGAAGACGGTAGTACTTGGATTGCATTTGATCCTGACTCAAAACATGTACACATATACATTTATGTCTTGTGTACAATGAACAATAGAATAGTGATATTGGGATTCCTGTGGTGGACAAGATCCTYTTTCACTTCTCAGTTATCATGTCTAATTAATAGTGGTATGATTCTTCCGGTCTCATGTAAACAACCCCTTTGTCATTATTCTATACATATACCTATTATACATTACTACTATATATCTACAATATACCATCTATGCCTCGGGACTTTCACTCCCTTCGTTGTTAGAATTCCTCRTCTCAATGTGAATCTGCTGCAGATTGGGAATGGTGACCTCAGAGTCTTGAACACCATTGTCAACCACTGTTGGACTCAAGTTCTGTTGCTGCAAGAGCAAATAATACAGTGTGTAAACAATATACACCCTTTTAATAAGTCCCGAGGTATTGTGTTCTCCGCACTTGACGTCAAATTTATTCTTTTGAAATTTTTACAATACAAAAGGAATTCAAAAGAATAAATTTGACGTCAAGTGCGGAGAACACAATACCTCGAGACTTATTAAAAGGGTGTATAGCAATACTGAATGTGATGATGTAAGCCATTGTGTTCATGTGCCAACCAGAAGACAATTTGCTGWTAGAACAAAGCGACTAGTGAAAAGCCATTCTGATTATGGTTGGTACATTAACAAAAKAATGAGTTTGTAGATAAACATTGAGTATCGCTATTCCCATTTTACTAATAATACTGAATCTTGATTGTGTGTAATTATAAGTAATAGCATGGCTCTGAGGGAGATTAGGGATTAAATGTCCCCGAAGCCGAGGGCAGATAAGTTGAAGTCAGCCGCAGGCCGGAGGGAATTTTACTTATCTGCCCAAGTCTGAGGGACATTTAATCCCTAATCTCCCGAGGAAGCCATGCTATTACTTTGTAATACCATGATTTCCGAGGAAAATATTGAAGTTGAACTTGAGCGAATTTGAATTCTTGTTTTTTTGCATGCTCCAATGTTTTCAATCAGAAGTAATATAAGCATTGCAACAAACAATTCATGCATGAATTGGAATGTGACATGAAAAGAATGGATACGCACTGTTCTAAGAGTATCAAGTACTTTATTGTGTCATTAAAAAGGTTTTCACAGAACAACAGTACAAAATGATATTGGTAATCCGACCATTGTTAATGATTTCCCACAATGAACTTTTAAACAATTGCTTTTCAGTTTTATTCAATGCTGAAGTTAACGAACCTTAACTTCAAGCCGAAAAGTTGTTTTTATATTTGCAAATATAATGCCAAGAAGCTTATCAACTATTTTCAAACATTGAAATTCGTCAAGTGCACATGCTCAGCGGTGCGAAGTAGTGAGTTGGAACTAGAGCTACTCGGTCAATTTGGCCCAAAAATCATCCCACGTTTCAGTGTGAATGAGACGATAACGAGACCGTTCATTGCAGAGATAAAAAGAAGAAAGCTGTAGGGACATTCAGTTGTTCCTGCTGCATGGGAAGCAAAGGTTTCCTTTGCCTTCCGTTCCTCATGAATAACATGAGGGACGATTAGTCTAATCTTCCCTTATGTTATTATGCATGAGGTATGATTACTAGTAATCGTCCCTCATGCTATTCATGAGGGAGGGATGTTCGCTTGTAAACATCCCTCGGAAGACAAAAGAATCCGAGGTGATCATGGTATTACAGCTTTAATATCCATATGATCAAGCTGTTAGTACAAAGAGGTCCCTCAAAAGAGATTGGCCACAAAATAGAGTGAGAATAGAAAATAGTCTTTCATGCGCCATCTTGAACACCTCAGGTCAATTATTCACATGTTTCTAGATTTGTAAGGTCAACTTTCATCTGACTTCAAGGTGGCACAGCAAGCWGTGAACGAGACTAATCTGTCTGCCTGACAGAGGGTGTTCCCTTAAATGGTGACCTCTTAATACTCCATTTTGAAGTTCAAATGGGATCCCCGCTGTTTCATACGACAACAGATTCTCTTGCGCAATTCTCTTGCACAAGAGCCTTACTAAAAGAAACCACGAGAAATGTTGTAAAATACAATAGCCCTAACATTTTTGCATTTTTTCCAAGTTGAGGCTAACATKCTGTATTCCCAAAAGGCTTAAATTAGAAATTTTCAACACTATATTGTAATAATGAAATTTTTTCAGGGTTTCTCTTGTTTCTGGTAAGGCTTTTGTGCAAGAGAATCTGTTGTCAAATAAATCAGTGGTTATCTTCTTTGAACTAGAAAATGGAGTATTGGGGTACCGATGCTGAATAGATGGACTGAAAATAAGCACTAAAAATCAACATGGTCAATCTCKCTACTACCTGCAGCAGAACTTGTACTTGTTTCTCAAGCTGCAATATCTTCACATCTTTTTTAAGGTTTTCAGTTTCTAGTCTTTGGACTTGGTTCTCCAGCCTTGAGACGTCTCTTTCCTAGACATTAGAGAAAAAAAGATTAAATTACATTACAAATTGTCCACCAAAAAGTCTTAAAGCATTTGATAWAACAAAYAATTTTACTTTCAACCAACTCCATCACATTCCCTTGAAAACTAAATGTTATTGATGCTTGCATTCCAACAAATGTTTTAGACATAGCCACCYTAAATCAGTTGGATCAGGTTTAAAACTTCACTGRTGTCTRACCACAAGTAACCTTGAATGGCCATGAGTCAGGGACAAGTGACCACATATGAGCACATTCTGACCACAAGTCATCAACAGGATTTCTTAAATTATATTGTAAAACTCCTGAAGAAGTCTATTAAGTTAGAAAAAAAAAACATTGGAGAAAACAAAACAATTTACCGCCTAAATCCACAATATTTCACACTGGTATGTTTGTGGAAAAAGTACTAATAATAAAAAGATTTTGTTTGTCTTCAACTCTAGTCATTTGTGGTCACTAATTTATGACTTGTGGTTACATATTTTTTGAGCTTTTTTTATTAGGCTAACTGTTCACCATGGTACATTATCGTAACAAATTGATTTGTGGTTCAAATGAAATAGTTGTCTCACAACACCTTCTATACACAATCATAATAATGCCACATCAGCAGGCAGTTCAAAAGGTGTTTACACTTCAAAATTTAACTTCATAAAGAGAAACTCAATTACATGTACTGTATGATCTAACTACTGATTCTTTCATACAAATGAAGACATTTTGTACAGCTACAAATAAATGCAAGAGGTATAATAAAATTTAGTTTAAAAAACAGCATTTGGCCTTTATTCAGACATGATTTTTATCTGTAAAATGATATAAAGATCAATAATTTTAACCAAGAAGAAAAGAATACTCTAAAAGGGATGTATAATGTACCTTCATTGCGTGAAGCTGAGTCTCCAGTTCTGCAATATGAGATATCTTGTTCAGGTTTTCTTGTTCCAGGATACGAATGTGATGTTTGAGGATAGTTATTTCTTGTGTTTTGCCTTCAAGCTGTAAATAACAAAACACAACTGTCATTATATGAGTGTGCAAAGTCACTGAAGACCAAAAATAGGAGAATGCTGTAGAGAACCAGGAACACCTACAATATGTCTACAATAATATTAGGGGTGAAATTGAGACTTTGCGAGATGGCGAGACTGGCATTTTTCCTTGCGAGACTGAGAATTTTGAGTTTTCTGAAATGCAAGACCGAGAATTTCGAGTGTATTCCGACGCTGTTTTTAAATCTATAAAGGCCAAAACTGCAAGCTAGATTGCGGTAAAAAATCGAGACTCCAAGACTTTAAAATGTTTTCAAAAACGAGATTGTGAGACCCTTGAAATTCGACTAAAATCTTGCAAGACCTGGATTTTTTGAAAGACCATTCACCACCCCTAATATTACAGAAAAAAATACTTTTTTGTAAATCAAATTTTGGCAAACATATCATAGAGAACAAGATTATTTGGTCCATGGCTACTATAATAATTGAAGCTCACCCGTTTTAATGAGATTTTTTAACTCACTACAAATCTTCCACAAATACTTTAAATATTCAATATATTAAATCAACTATAAAAGGTAACTCACTGACCTGCAAGTTGGCCTCTCTCTTCGACAACCCAAGAGAATTTGCAATGCTGCAGCCTGAGTTTCTTTTACTGTCATGATTACTCATAGTTCTGACTGGCGTGGAAGCGAAAAGTATAGTAGCAGGTTGTGATGATAGCGCTCTAGAGGCATCGGCAGTACTTGCCATGTTCAAAGTACCATACTGTGATGGCTGCACTGAATATGGTGTGTTAAGTGGTGAATTCAGAGGGGTAAACGTAACATGGACTGTATTTGACGAACTGCAGTTTGGGGTTGAGGAAATACAAGTTTGCGTACTGTCATCATCTGAAGTGTCACCATTTCCATCTGTCATGCTGACTGACGACCATGACATTTCCGCTGAGTTAGCCTCGGTCTTGGTTCCATGTGATGTGAACATCTGTTGTGTTGACTTGGATGCCACAGTGGGTTCAGTTGTCGATATGGCGCTATGYGTTGTAGCCATAGATGGCCCTATTGCTGGTTTAATGCGCTATAATAAAAACAAATTGTAACAATATTTCTCAGCTATCATAAAGATACAAAATATGTTTTGATTTCTGTAGAAATGGCAGAATCTTGGGTAGAATTTTATACCTCAATTTCAAATTTCTGATTGTGTGAAATTGAAACCAGGAGAGAGGATCTATCAAAGAGAAATATTACACGACATGACATCTTAAAATTCGATCACATAGAGGCTCCATAGCTCAGTAGGTAAAGCACAGAGGTCATGGGTTCGATTCCCATTAACCCCCAATATTGGGGAGGTGGTCCATTTTTAATTATTTTAATTTACTGCAACAATCATTATTTCTTAGACATAAATAGAGGAGTGGAAATGAAGCCAAATAAACAGTGTTTTCATCATTGAGTCCAACCAAGCTTCAGAAAAATAGACATTGAGTATCGCTAYAAGGATGTACAACTGTGTGTAATTTGTTAAATACAATCTAATGAGTGATAGATGAATGACACATGATGATCACTGTGAAATATAGAATGAATTTCTTGACAGACTGGAAAAAGACAAACTGGCCAGGAAGGAAAATATAAAATTCAATGAAATTGTCTGTGATATTTTTTCTAGACTTGACAATATCAATTTACTAGTATTTAATAATATCAGTTATTTTATTAAAGTTTAATACCAAATAAAATATCCAACTAGTTTAAGTCTTACTTACTTTCAACATGTGACGCACTTGATTTCCATTCGGTACTATGCGCGGGTCTTCAGAATTCAATCCTTGCTCCTCTACGTACTTCTTGAACCACATCAACGCTTCATCGGGGCTCGCTCCTTCCAGCCTTTTGCGCTTCAGTTGATTTCTAACGGCGGCTGGAACGCGGTGTTTATTTACATCATCGATGTTCCCAGCTCCATGACTCCCAGAGAAATATATCTCCGACATCAAAGGATCGTCGCCATAAATGCTAACCTTGCATTGCGCATAGCAGTGTCGTCGCTTTCCTGTGCAGTTGGCTCTTGGAGTACATCCATACCTTCTGCCTGGACAAAAAAGACACTCGCTGACCAAGAGATACCGATCTATGTTGGATCGATTACACAAAGGTCGCATCCCATCTTTAAGTTTACAACCCACTTTTCCTGTAATCGTAGGCCTTTCAGCTCGTCCTGAATCTGTGTCTATTACAGCTCCGTTTCCAAAGTTTAGACGCTCAAAATTCCAGCTGATTTGCTTGGCAAAATAAGATGGTAGGTCAGCGACAGCCACTTTGATGGGTTCACTCCACTCCGGAACTGGACACAATCGACACATTCTTGGCGTATTTAGTATGTTTATTGGCTTTTTTACGAATGGAAGAGTCTCTAAGACTGTAGCCAAAAGTCAGCATTAGCTTCTTATGACATAAAAAYCAGAAGAGTACTTTATAGGGCCATAGAAAGTAAGTGCTTTTTAAAAACTCGCACAAGAATGGGACGCCATCTTGACTTGCAGGCTGCAATGCGCATGATTGGACTACTAGTATCGCAGGCTCACGGTTTTTTTTTGTTTTTTTTTTCACTCACTTTGAACATCCCGAATACAAATTTGCATTGCGGTGAGGAGGCATAGACGTGATGGAATAATTTTATACCGGCTGAGAATGTGAATCGATGCATCTTTCAACCGTGAAGGGGCAAATGATTTCACACTGTTTTAACAAAGGCATCAATGACCATCAATCCACCACGGGGTGCGGCGGGGAAATTAACAACGTCTATATCTACCTCTAACCCTAAAGACTCAAAAAGACTTCATGGGAAGCACCGGGATTTAACGATCCTATCTTAACGACCTTTAACATCCCTAGAGCGACTGTCTGTGAAATATCGATCAAAGGCGTGGAGCTAGTCGCATGTAGTCGGAAAAATCGAAAATTCCCAAATTATTCCGAGACAATAGGCGCCAAGGTGAGCWTTGCCGGGAAAATACTAAACAGTTCAGACTGAGATTTTTTTCACGAGATATAAGCTAACTAATATGTGTTTCGAGCATACTTCGAGCACCCATTCCAAWATTTGTAAAAAAATCCAGGCCGGACAATTACAAAATGGCTATTTTTAAACATGACCATCAATGTAATATTTCTTGTCGACTTTTTTGCCAAACAATTTACATGTATAAGCGTTAATGGCAGTTTGAATCTATTCATGATTATAGTTTTTTGCGGACCAAGAAAAAACATTCTTATTCTTCCCTTTAAATATTCGTAGAAACTTGACTTTATCATGAGAAAGAGAGCACATAAATATTGCTTTGCCTCAGTAATGCATCAACAATTTACATAATTCTTGCTTATAGTAGTTGGTTTCATAAAAATTGTCAATAAAACATGGATCATAGCTATCACTTCTCATCCTAACACACGGCCCATATGCGGCATTTGCAGCTCCAGGATGCATTCATGAAGACRCTTAATAATTTGCAATAATTTGCGCAAAAATTCAGGCACTAAATTGAATGTAAGTCTTTGTACCTTATAGAGAACCGTGCAACTGTACAAACTAAATAGTTCTATTTAGTCGTATTTAGTAAATCGTGCATGTGGTACGCAAGTTAAATTGAATTGATACAAATAAAGCATTCAATACCGTTTTGCTTCAGGTCCACTTTTAGTACAAATTAGTACTACTTAAATTTTGTACAGTTGCACGCTTTAAGTGCGATCACTCTTTATACACGCCTCTCTGCAATACTTACCAATCTACTTGGATCGGCAAAAATGACGAGATTCTCGTTAAGATCGTCTAATTGTTTTTCGTCTATTCCTTTTTGGTGTGATGTGAGTTCAAAGTGAAACTAAKTACTAGTCAAAGTGCAAACATCAGGTATCAGGATTAGTAATCCTGCATGGGGTGTGTCTATGGTGCAATGGACGCCGCATTTAACGCCAYAATTGTTACGTCATTAGGACCAATCTAGTTCCACTTATTGTATTATGATGGTTATGGGGCAACAGAGGCGGATCCAGTTCTCTTCAACGAGGGGTGCAGAGCTMTTGGAGAGGGGGATAATCTCCAAATAAATGATGACAAGACAAAGGCGAGACACTTTTGACGCGCGCTTTCTCGCTATGGGATGTGATATGCCGTGGCAGCCCTTTTTAGGAACAATTTTATAACACCATATTCATTTCTTGGCAAATACTGGTGACTACAACGACAAAAACATTGTTTTTTTTCCTTGTAGCAGCACAATCAGGCAATTTTGATAATTATGAAGAAGTATTGAGACATGTCGGTGAGCTATTTTTACTTATTAACGTAGCTAAAAGATCGATACTACTCCGTTACAAGAACAAGAAAGGCACATTACTATCTTGAGTTGACGACCATCTCTTTAGGCTGTGTACATCCGTTTCTCACCCCTCCAAAAAAATCAGGGAGAGAAGGACGTTCTCTAGCTTCTCTCCCYGACTTTTAGTGGGGGGTGAGAAACGGATGTACACAGGCTACCATCTCTTGAGTTGACGAATTTCTAGCTCAGAAGCTAATGAGACCGAAATGAGACCTCTTTTTCACAAACGGCACCGCAAACGAAAGAGCGGCGAATGTAATAATAATAATATAATATAATTCTATTTATATAGCGCTTATCCAATTCTGTTCTAAGCGCTTTAAAACTACATGACAACTACAAAACACATGAGAGTCTTGGTAGACTGTGAGCTTGTAGGAGGAATAAGCTTATTACTAGTATTTGTCCCCTGTCCTCGGTAGGGGATTCAATACTCTGATATTTTTGGTGCTTTTTTAGAAAAGCACCTGCTACATCGTTCAGCAAGAACTGAGTTATTACCTGGCATTCATATTTGTAGGAAGTTGCTGAAAAATGTTTTAACGTTTTGAAATAAAAAACGGGCCCGTGGCTGGAGACTGATGGCCTTGATGCCTTAACGTACAAAGAGATGATAAACACTCGTAGCTAGTGTTTATTTTCTGTTTCGGGATCCCTGTCCTTTTTTTCTGAGTCGGGTTTGGTTTTTCCGAAACTTCCGGACTTGATTTGATCACTTCCGTTACATATCAATTACTGAAGTTGTTAACCAATCACAAGGTGCGTTACACTCTTGGCTGAAATGCTCCTCATTTGACCCGCGCACCTTAMATACCGACAGCTTACTCAGTTGCTTTCGTTCTTCAAAATACAGAGATAGAAGTTCTTCTTTTTGTTTGGTTTAGTAAGTTAGTAAAGCAATACAATGAAGAGAGTGTGTCTGGTTGCTCTCTTGGTTGCTATTGTTGCGCTAGTTGATGCAAAGCCAAAGTGGAAGGTAAGAAAAAGTCGATCATAAGAACCAACTTGAATTTAAYTGGAAGTTTATCTTGTTTGTATACAGTTATAAATAACAGATGTAATCTTCTTAGACGCCGAAAAAGTTTCTTATATTTATAAAAATATCATTGGACTGACGTGGCGAGTGTATATACATTTGTTGAAATTCTTCTTCGTGATTTAGTATCCAAAGKTCTTGAATTACACATCCATGATAAACGTTTTTAATGTTTTCTCATTCCACAACCATATTGAAATGTTGTTTGCTGTATATTACGCTATATTTCTAACATAATAACATGCGTCTCGGAATTGCCTTACTTTATTTGAGTTGATATTTTATCCTAAACTCATGAGAACAGAGATGCTTTTGTATCAGAATACGTAGACATTTAAGACAGGCGTGAACTGACCTTTGACATAAATCGTTGCACATTGCCAAGACGAWGTATTTTGTCACATCATAGCAATAAATGTAATAAACTTTTAATACTATTGRGAAAAGACACTGGACTTTTTGTTGGATTGCTATTTTAACGCGTTTGTCTCACGTCACGCACAGTGACGTTTACACACGCGCGCAGAACTACACTACTCGATATAAWACTCGCGCACGCGCGTCCTTTGACTGTTCAACAAATCTGGATTATATATTCACAGAAAGTATTGCAACAGAAGAGACAGAGGGTGACTGTCCAAGAGCACAAGAAGTGTAAGTATCGTGTCTAAAACTTCAAGGAAAAAAATATATTTGCTGTGCGCTATTAACCACCTGTCTCATAATCCTAGATTGTGGTGAGATTGAATGTCCGAAATATTCCGCATGCAAACTGAAGAGAACTTCTAGAAATACTCTCAAAGCTATCTGCGTCAAGTAAGAAATCTATTCTCCTATAGTCCACCCTCGCGGCCGTTATCTTGGTCACGCTACACTCGCGGAATATCTGGGGAGAGAAATTGACATTGATGACGGCTGCCAGGGAGACTTGTAACTAAGCCCTATATCCGGGAAGGGAATGGCAAAAGAATGGACAGTAGGGAGAGTGGGTAGTAGCCAACTTTGATCATTTTGAATACTGATTGATAATATCAATGAACGAATGAAGAAAGAATATCTGAACGTATGTGTTTGAGGCCGTAGAAACAACTAGCATTACGCCTGTCACTAGGACGTCTTTGACTACACCCTATGGTGCACATGCGCACGCTCGGATAAAACGTTTCTCGGCGTTGACTAAGAGGAACCTGGGCTCTGGAGCGAGATTGCGCGCGCTCTTGAAATAATGTGGGTTCCCTGTGTTACAACGTCATAATCGCAAAATCATCATGATTTTTTTTGTCTATCACGTCGACGGCATTCGTTTGGCGAAGAAAACTATGATACATAGCCATATTTGATATGTTTATAAGTACCATGAGCAACTTCGTCAATACGAGCATAACTTCATATTAGTGGAAAATACCATAAAGTGGTAAACTAAACTACAATTTATACGGATTAACTTGAATTTTTGTTCTTGTCGATCATTACAGGTGCAGGCCTTGCCGTCAAGGTGCCAAGGAAAAAACAGTGTGCGGAACTGACGGCAATGAGTATGCAAATCGTTGTGACTTACATTATCAAGCATGCATGAATAACAGACTGGGATTACTTAGGATTAAATGCAAGGGACCATGCGCTGAGTGTGCGGGTGAGTACACTGCAGGTAGCAAACCTGTACTCACGTTGAATCCTTACCAGACAGTACCAAATAACTAACTCGCCTTTAAAGCCCATGTATGGCAACCTTTATGATACTGATCTTATTGTTTATGTCACGTACCGTTACCTATAAAACCAATCTGAAAGTACCTTCCAACAAAAGATCAAAACAAATGAAACGTTCTCTGCCTGTTCTATTTTAATTTCTTGTTTTTGCTTTCGGAAAATCATGCATTTTTACCAAATTGCGAGCTTAAAGATCGACTTAGCCTGCGTAAATCCGGTTTATAGTTTCAATGAAACTCAGGCTAAGATCGACTGCATAACCAGAACAATAATTGTGATATGCATTTTTTATACGTTAAAAGAAAACCAAGTCAAAGATCACATGATTCAACATAACAGACTACCTAAAGAGAGGTTAGCAAATCAGGAACACGATGAAGACGACGACGAGGAAGAAGAAGTAGAAAGTCGACCAAATGAAAAGCAAGACAGTGTTGAACAGGTATGTTTCATTATTTTTATTCAGGTTAAGCTCTGGTCCAACGATCCGCGGTAGCAAATTTTGCTACACTATCAAGCACTATCTTCAGCTCATGCCATACAAGCTAATACACCTATTTCAAAAAACGTTGTCGTCACCACGACACAGTCCACAGTCTTGAGCCTGCAAAGAATCTCGGGGTTTCCATGCGTAATTAATATATTCAAAATATTTTGTGGTTTGAATTCAATGGCGGCAAACACTACTAATATACTATTGCGGCCCATCGAACAAGTCTCGCCATAGACATTTTCCTCATTGAAATGAATATTCCACGTTTTTAAAACGTCAATGAGTTTCAAAGCTATATTCGCTATGAGACCGAGAATAATCCAGTTTCGTATTCTTCAATGCTCTGTGTTAGCCTAATTTGTTCGCAAAATATTCCTAATTGTGAGAAAGAATATGTTGATTGGTTTTGGAGCTAACACAGAGCAAACCAGAACTCTAAATCGGAGTATTTCGAATAACTGAAATTGAACACATAATATATGGCAATCCCGAGATTCTTTGCAGGCTCAAGACTGTGGACTGATTCCTGGCGACGACAACGTTTTTTGAAATAGGTGTATAAACAACTGGAAAATCATCACTGGGTTTCATTGCCTGATTCCATTTCCATACCGTCATGGAAGACGTTCAAAAACGTTAAAGAAAAACCAGCAACAAAAGAATACATGAATACATGTTATATTTCTAGGTACCGGAAGTCAACGTGCACAATTAGCCAGTAGCTAATTGTTATTCATCAGACTCGCTTGCACTCATGACCACTACTSACTACCTTGAATGTTTTGAGCACACAACACTCCTCATAGCTAGTTTTTGACTACTGAGGTAGGAAATTAAAGCAGCATACTTGGAGACAAAAAACTCCCGGAGCAAGGAAAAGAACAAACCTATACAAACTGAAATCACTTGTAGTCCGTCACAAACTCGTAATCGAACCGGGACCACAGCGGTGATAGASCTAACCGATGGGTATGATGGCGGATAATGCGTCCGGATCTCCTGCAAAGTCTAGCATTTTTGAAAGCTGTCAATTGTTCTCATGATCAGTCAATATTCAAACGTTGGGCTCATTAAAGAAACTTATATTTACCTAAAAATAGCAAAGCACGTACATTGGATAGTAATTAGAGTAATATCATTTAGAACGCAGCGCGTGGTGAAAAGTACAAAAAGTGGAAACAATGGAAAAAATACAAACAAGAATTTCAACGACACAGCATCCAGCTTATGCAAAAACATGGCCTGATAGTCAATGATAACAGTAAGTACACTGTCCTTATTCGTGGATTCATTATTATGGTCAAGAAGYGCGATCCAAACAATTGGGACACACTCACTCCCACTTYYCAACACTCTTTCCGTTCACACACAGCTACAAAAGTATGGTCCTGTCCTTTGATCTTGTAGTCATACATTTACAGGCAGTGTTTGTCCTTTGCATGCTTTCATAGTTGAAACGGCACAACTTCTTATTTGTGCAAATAAAAAAAGCGGCTTAGGAGGACTGTACTGGCAGACATGAAAAACAGCGGGGACTACAACTCCCATCATGCTTTGTTGCACTAAATGTCGTCGCTGCACAATGCCTATACCATAATGCACTTCGCCACTTGAAATGAGAATGCTGTCATAAAAGTACTCAAAGTAAACGGACATTGGAAAACTGAGCTMACTGTGTTCTCATAGAGTCGGCTCATTGATCACTTAGAGCATGGCATGGCATATTAGATTCAGTTTTCAATTTCCATCTCATTGATTTGTTATGTTTTTTGTTTTTTTTACTAGGCAACTGTACTAAACAAGAGAATGATACCTTAGGAGGACGTTTGCTTGACTGGTTCCACGTCCTCAGGTCAGAGTTCATTAAACAAACCCTAAAAAAATCTGGCAAACCTGTCGAGTTACCGTTCATGCCTGAAATGGACTTGAGACAAGCTCATGAACCCTACCCATGTGGTACGTATCATTGTGAACATGAAACTGTGAATGTTATTGAATAAATGGAAAAGAGAGAGAAAANAGAACCGGGTTGTTTCATAGGCCTCGCTTTATAGATTTGTTGAGCTCAGGGTCTGTGGCCCTGTTTATAAATACATTAGATAGGCTGCCCCTAGGTAGTAGAATCCTCCAGGGAAAAGAAAACAAACGAATTTGGCTCTACTATACATAGGGGCACCATATCTCATGTAAACAGGGCCTTTSAGGGCCCAGTGGTATCCATACGGAGCTCGAAAAATAACTGCAACATAACCTTTCAACTGTCTTTATCTCTTTTTAGGTCGTCACCACTCAGAATGTCGCGAACCCATCAATTTCATGTTTCACTACCTTGACCGCGATGACGATCACGTGCTTGGGGCTGAGGAACTAGAAGAACTTAGACAGATTCCTTATGAGAACTGCCTTGATCAGTTCCTGAGAGGCTGCGACAAAACAAATGATAACCAGTTATCTATTGAAGAATTTTGCCGATGTTTTCCAATCGGTAAGATAAACACTTAGACCTTCCGTATTTTAATGAAATCAAATCTAATCAATCTCTTTTCCCAATTGGCCGTTTAATAAAGCTTGCCCGCTAACTAGAGGCTGAGTCGAGAATTGGGACTTAATATTTTTGGCTGAWAATAGATTCCCGGTGCAAACTAGACCGGAATATTTAGACTGCGCACATACGTAAGCGAAATTATAATAATCATTAAGGCCAAACTTTTAATAAGAAATGTCTTTATTTCTATGCAAAACCAACCATTAAACCTCATTCATCAGAACCTCCATGTCTTGCTAAGATGAAGAGTGTCCCTACCATCCTTCAAAGAGGACAACCAATAGCTCTTCCTGGACATTTTCTACCTCGATGTGACGTAGATGGTTTTTATATGTCCATGCAATGTCACTTGAAAGCAACAGCCGAGTTCTGTTGGTGTGTGGACCGTAATGGAGGCAAGATTGAAGGTACCTACAAGAAAGGGAAGGTCAAGTGTGGTAAGTATTTACACTATCAATACCGTTGGGGGATATAGGGTGGGGTACTTGGAAAAATAAATGATCTTGTGCGTTGCCGCCATGTTTAGTACGAAGTAAAAAATTTGCATATAAACGCATTTCKATGCAGTTGCGCAGATGTCATGCGAATGTGAAAAATTACGCACACTAGTGTACTGTACCTTCGCGACGTGCGCAAATGTCTTACGAATGTGCACACCTTTCGCGACGTGCGCGACAAATACCCTGCGAACAAGCCGAAGGCCTTCTTACGCGTTCAAAATTACATAAACTGTACAGTGCTTACTCAACGTGACCGACTCATGCCAACTAAATGATATTTTTAATACCAGGTAAGATTTCACTAAGGCTCCTGCATAGAACATTGCCGTTTGACAATCTTAYGCAATCGGTTTCCATAAACTCTCMATAAAGTAAAGACCATCGCACGCCGTGGTTATGGCAAAAATTTATTCTATACGATTCAGTCACCACACGGGGTGGAACAACTTAAATCACTTAATACGTAAATGACGCAAGGGCTGGTAGTGTGAATAACGCGTCACGTAGAGCTTCCGCTCTTTCATTGCGCAAATGAATTGATTTTTTTTGTTGGCTAATTGCTAGATAAGCGTTTCTGCTTACGGAAGATGGTATGGATGTCAGCACTTCCTTAATATACTTTTTGTCTGTTTTTACAGAGGATAACACGATCAACCCACGCGATGAGGAAGAGCTATAGATTGTCTTAAAGGGACCACCATTTGAAGAGTGAAGGGGAGAGGGAAAGGGGCTTTCAGACTTGTATACTCCTTGTATATTGCACGTTTACTCCCCCCTTTATTATTTTGTTCGTATAATTTTTTTGTTTTTAATTTCAAAGCCTGTCTAGTTTGGCCCTCTACCTCTTCATTTTTCTAATAGTGGATCCCTTACTTCTAGTCCCATTTACGACTATTTGATATTCCTATAAAGTTCATTTRGTGGTGGTTTTAAGGCAATGTCCAGTTCTATTTTAATCCTAGTTCTAAKTGATGTACCTATGATAGCCTGCTTTAGTGTATCATTTATCTATTGTTGGCTGGTTGCAATTAAGTGTTAAGGACGAGTCAAGTGCAATAAAAGTGTCGGTATCGTCTATTGTCGTCTGTCTTATCAATGCTCTCGTGATACGTACGTAATAGGCTAGACTCATTCGATTATGCCAGGATTGAGCCAAGTTTAATTCCTTGTGGCCAACTCTCTTTAATGTTAACTGTGATCCTCGAAAACGTTGTAAAAATTGCAAATGTTCAAGATTTCATACACTGCATAGTGCTTACGCAACGTGAGCGAGTCATGCCTTCGATATGATATTTTTAATACTATATTTTTACGTGCGTAATAGACTCATTCGATTATGCCAGGCTTGAGCCAAGTTTAATATTGTGCCAACTCTCTTTAATCCTCGAAAACGTTGTAAAAATTGCAAATGTTCAAAATTTCATACACTGCATAGTGCTTACGCAACGTGACCGAGTCATGCCTTCGATAATGCCTTCATTTTTAGCGGGGGAAAAACGCCAGATCATTATCGGGTTACCCTGCGAGCTGAGGTAAAACTAAAATCGGAGGCAAGGTAAATTACACGTTGCTCGCAGAATAGTGTCTGGTATTAATATAAAATATGTGAAAGCAACTCTATTAATCAAGACGTAATAGACATCAGAGAACACAATTGAGTGAGATATTAGGGTTAATTAAAGTAATATCTATTTCATGGGTCTACAGGTCTCATCGTGAAAAAGTAGGGACTTTCCATCTCAAAATAGTTCCCACTATCAGTAGCAATAACTAAGTTGTATTAGTACATCCTCGGGAACCCAGGGGTTATCTTCTGTCGTTCGTTCCTCACTCCCAGAAAAAATACTGATATTTTTTCTGGGATTGAGGAACGAACGACAGAAGATTACCCCTGGGTTCCCGAGGTTGGTATTAGTATGGCTAAAGCTTGCTTACGTAGATCGTTTTTTTATCTTGTCAAGATGATCAATCGAGTAAATTCTATAAAAAAAAAACTCTAAAAAAGGCGTATTAGTATGGACACCAAAACTTGCTTGCGTAGATCGGCTTTTTTCTTGTCAAGATGATCACTCGAGTAAATTCTATAGAAAAAAAACCCTCTAAAAACGTGCTTGTTTCAAGTGCCGGTAAATGACTAATTCTCGTCGCATCACTAACATATTCCATACGAACAAAACGCGTGTCCAAATTAACTGCATATTTGCGGATCGTTTTTGTTTATTTTGACATGATAAAATGTTGAACTAACGTATCGTCTACAACTAGGATGTATTAAGGAAGCAAGGTCAAAGACCTCTGGATATCAATGATAAAGAGATACAAGAAAATCGCTAGTCATTCAAGATATCTATTTCCTGAGCAAAAGCACCCAGCATGAGTGTATCAAGTTGTATTATTTTTCTTCTTCTTCAGAGCAACGTTTCTTTGTATCTTCATAGCTCACAGAGAACTATCTATTCACGCGCACGTCTCTCACGGGAAGGAACAATCCTTTTATGGTAAAACAAACACTTCGTAGATGCGCCAACGATTACTCAAATCGACGTCATAACCCCAAAAGTACAACGAAAGATTAGAATAGCATTGGAATTTTAGTCATAATCTTCGCTATTGTTGAATTGAAGATAAGRCCAATTAGTCGATCTCTTGAGGACTTTCTTTGGTACTCTCGAAATATCGAGAATTATCAAGAGACACTCTTTATTGCTGAGCAAAATGATCAGCCCCTCCTTGAGTAAATTAATTTAGACCGGAAGTGACGTCACAAAGGTAAATAAATTGATTCGTTATTTAAACGACGCGCTTCGCTGATTGATAATCACTTACGAATATATCAATATGGCGTCGAATATGTTTGCTTTGGGATTGCTTCTATCAACATTAACAGTGCTGGTGAGTATATATTGAACATTTTGTTGGGTGTTTATTTGTCTTGGTAAGTTTCTTGATGTTTTGTTGTTTGTTTTTGTGTTGTTACAGTTTCCAGTAACCTTAGAAAAGAGTGTTAAACAAGCTCCAAAGCCCACCAAGCAGAGTAAGTTTGTTACGAAATGACTTTTATGGTGATGATTTTRRTCTTAAGAATGCRCACTTTGTGAACACGTAGCTGAACAAGTTTGCTAGACAATTCAATCTTTTTTTAAACTTATTCCTGGCATTTTTTTAATAGTTTCGAAACAGTTAATCTTAAATGCGTCATTGCAGTAAAACAAAGTTTCATTATATTAAACTTGACATTGACCTAGTTCATTCATTACTTTTTGACTGTAAGAATATTCGACAAACTAATTGACCAATCACGTTTGGATAAATTTGGAACACAAACTTGTACTGAAAGACAAACATTTTTCAAATAATCGGTGATCTATGTTCTCTTTCTCTCTCTCTCTCTAAGGCACATGAAGTTTAGTTTTAGCTACAGTTTGAATGATGTTTTGAATATGAATAAGTTTAACAAGAATATTGCTTAAGTAATGCTGGCACGTAGAAGTGTAAACTGTTTCCATTACAACTTTCAAAGTAGGCTAACTAAAAAACTCTCCTTCCTAGAAATAACCTGACAAACGATATAATTTTCGGTTTTCTTTCGTAGTAAATCATAATAATAGTTCTAGATAGATCACAGTGCAATAATTATGTACCCTTAAAGTGGTAAAATAGTTAAGCC